AGAATCACTAAGTGCATAATTGTTCTCATTTACCTTTTGTTCATTTTGGATTTTGTAAAGACTTGTTAAAACACAGAGATTTTTTTTTAATGCAGAACCAACAGAAGAATGGGGACAAAAGTGCCAGGATGTGGATGACAGATGCTTTGATCAAAGTATTTTCTTCTGTTTTCCTTCCTTTCCAATGCTTCCTTACCCATTTATTTTTCCTTCCTCTCTTTCTACTCCATCTTCCCCTCTCCTCCTCCCTCCCTTCCCTTGCTTCCTTTCTCTCTGGGTCTCAGCTGCTGCATTTATGAAAACAAGACACTCGATTATGTGCGACTTGTTGTTTGTCGAAGCTGCATTCAAAATCTCATATTTCCAGCACGGCTTGCATTGACCCAACAATTTCTGCTATGAGACCTGAGAATTGATTGATGGTTGCACTTTAAAGGTGTGTACATTGTGGAGGCTGCAGATTTGGGGATTAGTGGCCAATTGATCACCCTGATTGGCTTGCATTCAAGAAACTGTCTTTCTGGACACCATGGGGGTCATAAATCTGTCCGTGGGGAGAGAGCTGATTGTGTTATTTGACACCCTGATCCTGTTTGGGTTGAGTTTGAAATGGGAGAGGCCTGAGTGTTGGGAATTATTGTGCGAGACCATTGAACATTAAACATAATAGGATTTATGGTTTTACAGACCATGTTGGTTGGTAGGTAGGTTGGAGGAGGTGGACACCAAAGGAAAACGGAGGAAATGTTTTAGTAGCAGGTGGCATCATGTGAACAGCTATGTGTTCATCATTTTAGTTTGATAACTCAGTTTCTTAAAACCTTTTTAATGTTAGTGTTGAGACTATTAGCATCTTTAACACAAAACTTTTTGCAGGGGTCTGTCTCAGTAATTTCCTAATTTTAAAATGTATGTAAATAAAATACAATGCATAGCTTCACTATTAGTTTCAGATATTTTATTTATTTTTTTACAAAAAGTGAAATGTTTCAGCCATTAATTTTTATTTATTTAGATAATTATGATTTATGTTTTAAATGTAGTTCTTAAAAAAAATTAACTGTTGCAGAAAAACCACTAAAATACATTTCATTTTAAATGCGCAAAAGTTCTTTTATAGTTATTCAATTTCGTCCAAAATCATGAGACAGACCCTCACTCTCATTACTCATTATTGAAGAAGCAGGCTGTTAGCAGAGTGGTGTCTCCAAGCCAAGTAATGCAGGGGGGTAAAAGTATAGAAGAAAAAACAAAATAAACAGGGATAATTGCAACCTTTGAAAATTGAGGCAAAGCTCATTAAAGAGTGTTTGGTAAGATTCATATGTTGTAGCTAAATCAGATGTATTCAGGTTATGGACCAAAACGACCCCATCCATGGTGTTAAGTAACTCCAGAAACAGAGATGCTGTACTATGCATCTTCCCTGCTCTAAACAGAAACACACTAACTTTTATGAGGTGCCCCCAGGGACATAAATCAGAATTAACTTGCATATACACATATTAAATTACACTCTTCCATATAATATACTGAAAACCTCACACAAACACTAGTAAAAAGCTCTCACATAAACTAGTGAAAACATTTACCTCTTATATAATCTACTCAAAAGCTCTCATACAAAGTAGTGAGAACTGTTCATATAAACTGGTGAAAAGCTTTACCTTTCATACACACTACTAGAAAGCTTTCATATACACTATTAAAAAGCTCTCATATACACTACTAGAACGCTCTCATATACACTATTAGAAAGCTCTCATATACACTATTAGAAAGCTCTCATATACACTATTAGAAAGCTCTCATATACACTATTAGAACGCTCTCATAAACACTATTAGAACGCTCTCATATACACTATTAGAACGCTCTCATAAACACTATTAGAACGCTCTCATATACACTATTAGAATGCTCTCATATACACTATTAGAACGCTCTCATAAACACTATTAGAAAGCTCTCATATACACTATTAGAAAGCTCTCATATACACTATTAGAAAGCTCTCATATACACTATTAGAACGCTCTCATAAACACTATTAGAACGCTCTCATATACACTATTAGAACGCTCTCATAAACACTATTAGAACGCTCTCATATACACTATTAGAATGCTCTCATATACACTATTAGAAAGCTCTCATATACACTATTAGAACGCTCTCATATACACTATTAGAACGCTCTCATACACACTACTAGAAAGCTCTCATATACACTATTAGAACGCTCTCATATACACTATTAGAAAGCTCTCATATACACTATTAGAACGCTCTCATATACACTATTAGAACGCTCTCATATACACTATTAGAACGCTCTCATATACACTATTAGAAAGCTCTCATATACACTATTAGAACGCTCTCATACACACTATTAGAAAGCTAAAATATATGGTCCCCCTCCTTTAATTTAGGCAAACATTGCTCAAATATCACCGAATCCAGATGGTTTGTTGTTGATGAAGAGAGGAATAAACACAGTTTAAGATTTGCAGGTAAATTAATTTGTTTCTATATTATGGAACTGCTATCAGGCACTTCCCATCATCTTATATCAGTAATAAAAAATTATAAATACAAATTTGGTATTTGGTGACTTGACTTTTATTTCTGTCAGGCTGAAGTGAAAAAACTTGGAAAGAGACTGATTGTCTTGGCGTTTAAAATAACAACACAAAACAGCATAAGAAAACCGCATTTATTTTTTTTATTTTACAATTTTGTAAACAACAGCGGCTGATTAAACTAAATGTCTCAACCTTGTATAATTTTACGACTTTTTATTTAACCAAGAAATGATCCGAAAGGCCTGGGAAATGATCAGATCCGCTTATGTGGCTGCAATGCGCGGCGCGCTCCCGACACAGGTGGAACAGATTTTCACATGAGAACAGAATTTCGCACAACACCGGAAAAGGATCTCTGTTGAAGCAAAAACATAAAAAATAAAGTCGAGTAATGCCCATGCTTCTGTGAGTTGTTTAGCGGATAGCTGAGCATGAATCAATAATTTTATTTGATACAATTTCGGCCGGAGATAGCACAAAATGTACGGAGCTAGCCAGAATGACCTCCGTTTAAAACAACTTCCGGTGTAATGACTGTCCTTCCTGTTTCACTGAAACACCTTCCGTTTCAACTGAAACACCTTCCGTTTCAACTGAAATCCGCTAATAGCTTTTCAGTAGTGTGTATGAGAGCTTTCTAATAGTGTATATGAGAGCGTTCTAATAGTGTTTATGAGAGCATTCTAATAGTGTTTATGAGAGCGTTCTAATAGTGTATATGAGAGCGTTCTAATAGTGTTTATGAGAGCTTTCTAATAGTGTATATGAGAGCGTTCTAATAGTGTATATGAGAGCGTTCTAATAGTGTATATGAGAGCGTTCTAATAGTGTTTATGAGAGCGTTCTAATAGTGTTTATGAGAGCGTTCTAATAGTGTTTATGAGAGCGTTCTAATAGTGTATATGAGAGCATTCTAATAGTGTATATGAGAGCTTTCTAATAGTGTATATGAGAGCGTTCTAATAGTGTATATGAGAGCTTTCTAATAGTGTATATGAGAGCTTTCTAATAGTGTATATGAGAGCGTTCTAGTAGTGTATATGAGAGCTTTTTAATAGTGTATATGAAAGCTTTCTAGTAGTGTGTATGAAAGGTAAAGCTTTTCACCAGTTTATATGAACAGTTCTCACTACTTTGTATGAGAGCTTTTGAGTAGATTATATAAGAGGTCAATGTTTTCACTAGTTTATGTGAGAGCTTTTTACTAGTGTTTGTGTGAGGTTTTCAGTATATTATATGGAAGAGTGTAATTTAATATGTGTATATGCAAGTTAATTCTGATTTATGTCCCTGGGGGCACCTCATAAACTTTCATCCAGTGGTGCAAAGTAATTGTTTCATTTTGAAATTCCAGAGTTGGCTTGAAGAGTCCTGATTTACAGATTGTGACTTTGCATCAGTATAAAACTCATACAGTCAGCAATGCCTCTTCTTATAACATACAGGATTTGGTAAATGCACACAATGCAATCTGGTTCAATTATCACAGTATTGCTTTGTGAGAGTATTTTCAACAGGATTTGCATTTTTTTATCAGCAATGATCGATTCTTTTTTTTTTTTTTTGATTGATTCTTACTAAAAGTAGTACATTTGTGAGTCAAAAATCATTTAAATAGAAAATTTATTTATGTAATTGTATTTCTTCACGAATTTTGAAATAGTTTTCTTCCTAATTGAGATGGATTTGCGTAAAATGTATTTATTTCCAGCACCTTAACTAAGTTGGCATAAATCCCATCTTTGTTCAAATCTGTTGTAAAACAGGGACTTGCATTACGAATTGCTGAGCATATAATAAACAAATGTTTTTTTAAGTTTATTTTTTCTGTTGACTGTTTTGACATTTGCTTGAATGCATGCATCTTTTTAAAAAATGGGTAGTTTATGAAATATATACGTATTGTTCTGTTTTTCTTAAGAAATCTGGGGAATGGATGTATTAATGCATACATGCATTAGGGTAATTTCTCTCCCTTTTTCCAAACTGAAATTGCACAACCTATTCAGAAACATTTAAAATATATACATAAAAAATGAATGAGTTGATATATTAAACCCAATATTAAGCTACAATTATTAAAAATGGACTTGTTGAGGTTTGCTCATAAAGTGAATACTTTTTCTTCGTATGGGCCAAGTGTAAATAATCCAGTATCCTGATCTATATCTTAAAGGTTTTTGTGTGTCCGCCTCTGTTGAGATATTAACTCTTCTATAGTTTTTAGAAGGCAGCTGTGCATAATGCACATTAATAGTCAAGTAAATGCTTTCATCAGGTGAGAAAATTCAGAGATGCGTGAGAGAGGGACAGGAACGAATGAAGCTTATGTGAGGGTAGGGGGGGAGGGAGGAGAGTGACGGGGACGGGGACGGGGAGTGAGGTTTATTGTTCCTCATATTTCAGAAGAGGTCCCACAGACAGATCTCCATATAAGACCACAGGGTGCTCTGATCTTTGTGTCCGCCACCAGAGATCAGGAGGGTGGGAGGTATTTCCACAGCTCATCAGATTGCCTGTTCCTGTCATCTTTTTTTCCTGTCTTAATCCGCTTCTCCTTTCTAAGTCTTTTCAGTGATTGTTGGCTCTTGTTTTTGCTTAAATTTTCAAATTCCAATCCTCACCTAACTCATCAGGGAAGGTCTACACAAAGATGATCCAATCAATCTGAAACGTGATGAGTAAGCTACGGAATTAATCATCCAAATTTTGCAACTAGTGGGAATTTATTTAGTGAAAGGTAAGTGTTTTACTTGCACAAGTAATGTTTTTCTGTTAAAAATGTTTTTTTGGTGGAAATATTTAGCTTTGAATTAATAGCTACAGGGTCCTGCACATCAGTTGGCAGTTTTAATAGATCTGAATTTTTAAATCTCAAGCTCTTACAGAAGCTTGTTTAATTTTCTAAAACATGCTCAACATATAGAATACACAACTACTACATGCATTACTTATTACTGTTCATACAAATGAAATAAAACATAATGTCGGCATATTTCTGGTAAACATTAAATGGAGAAAATGGCTATTATTAAATGATAACCTTTTAAAAAACCTCCTATATCTCATCTTGTCACTTTCAGTCCAGACCCAATCACTCTGTGTTGTGTTTTTTTCCCCCCATTATCTGCTCCTCCGGATAATATCTAGTATAGTATAACTCTAAAGCTAAATGAAATATAAATAAATCATGCATTATCCCATTTTTCTTAAGATACATAGAATTTATGTAACTCTTTTGCTCACAATCAACTTTACCTGTTGAACATCTTACTTTTTATGATATACATTTATGATATACAAATATAATATTAGTCTAAGCCAATTTAACACTTTATTCTTTAATTTAATTGTGACTTGATAGAGGCAGTGTGCGGTGCCCCTGGGGAGGCTACTAGAGTTGGTGTCATTAACCCAATTTCATATAAAGCAATTAATCTCTCTTTTTATGTTTTCTGTGTCATTCTGCATTCAAGACTCATCAACTACACCTATTGTTGAATTTCCACTTCCTCTACTACTGGCACCTCACAGCTGAAGTGATGTCCTCTCTTGCAGCACCAGAAAAATCTTCATCTAACATGGGTCCCAAAGAGGTACGAACAGCTTTGATAAAATGTAAATAGAAAAAAAAAAAAGGAACTTATTTTTGGTTGAAGTATTAATACATATTAAAAGTTGTTTTCTATTTTAGCAATTCATGTATTTATTATTATGCATGTTTATAAATGTTTATAAGTTGCAGTTGAAAGTACAAAACCTTTATTTGCCCTGATGGTGGGAGTCACCATCTGCTCCATCCAGGAAAATCCAGGGAGTCTGAGTCAGCAAAAGCACATACATTTCAGATCAAATAGATCAGTTTTCATGTCATGATGTGAACTCTTGTTGACAAAAATAGAATATAGATCTTACATTTGAGTTGTAAAAAACAGGAAGGTGTTTTTTTTTTCTTTGCAGACTATGTGAGAAATCCATCTCATGCTTTTTTTGTAAAATATAAACGTCCCTCAGGTGGAGCTGATCCTTGTAAAGGAGCAGAATGGGGTCCAGTTCACCTCCACCACCTTAGTAGCTCCGGCCCAGACTCACCCCAGTGGGGAGGAAGAGAGAGAGACCTGGGGGAAGAAAATTGACTTCCTCCTATCTGTGATTGGATTTGCTGTTGATCTCGCCAATGTCTGGAGATTCCCTTACCTTTGCTACAAAAATGGAGGAGGTGAGGACAATAAGGCTGAAGGAATCGTTTGGTGGGAGGACAGAAGTTACACAGATTCTGAGTTATAGTGTTTATTTTTACCATGCACAAGTCTTACTGGTTGCAGTTTTTGTTTTCTTTCCCACAATCGTTTGCAGAGATCAAACTAGCTGGAAAAACACCACAGCTGCTCTGCATAGATTAGCTCTAACAATCAGTGTCACTAATTATGGCTGTTTAACATAGAGCTGTCATTATGGTTAGAGGCTGCAAAGGGTGCTGTGGCTAAAAATGAAATGGCATTTTAGCCATGCTAAGGGCCGACATCAGCCATGTACCAACCTGCACATTGAGTTATGGTTAAAGAAAATAGACCAAATTAACAACAAATTGCTGCATTTTAAAATATATATAATAACATAAATTTATTAACAGGTGTGTATAGTTTAAATAAGAATTCCTCAATTAACTTGTGGGGGGAAAATAAATCAAAAGAACAAGCTTAAGACAATCAAGTTAACTTAAATAATGGCGTTTTTTTTTGTAGAGTTCAGTACTAGACATACATATATAGAAATGGATTATTTGGTATGTTGTCATGTCATTTTCTTATATGTCATGGTATTAATTTGAAAATTTCCCTTTCATTAAAAGATCGATGTTTAAGGAATATCAGTGAAGAGTCTATAAACAGATCATTTGAAGGCTGTTTTTGTTTCAGCAGAAAAACAATCAGTTGTGAAGTTGTATGTTTTTTCACCATACCAAAAGATTACATTACTACTTTAGATGATTTAATTTAGTTTTTGGCTTTTATGCTTTCTCAAAAAAAGAATAAAAAAAATAAATAAATAAAAATATTGGACTAACGATGGATAGATTATTTTATAAATTGCGTAAGATTTTTTGGCTCTCATAAGTTTGCCAAGACACAACTACTTTAACTGCTTGTAATTATAACTTCTTAAACTAATATAATGTAAAACTTAAGTATTAAAGTTTGACTTCATCAGTGGTTATGGTGACCTATTTTAAGATAACTTACTGTCAACATTAATTTAGACAAAAACTCGGGGTTAGTAACACAAGCGCGATTTACATATGTTAAATAATAATGTAATTAAAGCGACAATGTAATCAAATCGCCAATAACTTTCTATCTATTTATAGTTAACTTTTTATTAGTTGCATAAATTGCATATTTGCTTTAATAGCACACTAAACATGTAATATAATCTTTATATGATAATTAGAGTAGTTCTTTAATAATTGTTTACTGCACCTAGAGTATAATTAAAAAACGAAAACATGGTTACAATTAATTTAGGTTTAATTTAGGTGAAACATACATTCACCTGAATGATTAAAAAATTGCAACAATCTTTTAAAGCAATTAAAATGCAGCAATGTTTACATTGTATGCCTAAAACTGTAAAGTGTCCTTGGAGACCAGATTTCTTAGGAGCCATAATGCATGCTACCAAAGATATAAATGAGAGAATTTTGGATCAGAGTACATTTTTTATTGACTGAAAAGTTGTTGTATATTAAGATCTTTTCATTATAATAATGTTCTTAATATAAATGATATATAGATAAAGCTGAGTTTTTTTTTTAACAGGAGCCTTTCTGGTGCCTTACCTGTTCTTCATGGTGATAGCAGGGATGCCTCTTTTCTACATGGAACTGGCTCTGGGGCAGTACAACAGAGAGGGAGCAGCAGGTGTCTGGAAGATTTGTCCCATTTTTAAGGGTAAGATGGAGATAGCTTCCCCTGAATTTATTGGTCAGTGAAGTAGAGATGTGTAAAAATCCTTAAAATGAATATTGCATTTATATGCTAACATATAGTTTGCTTACAGTAAACTTTAGACTTTTGTTCCTTAAATCGTTTTCTGTCATTCTCCATTGTGGTTAAGTAAACATGGATCCTCATAAGGCCTTGTCTGAGTTGCTTTTTAATTTTCATCCCCCTGTTTGAGAAGATCACAATACATTCACCTTCTTCAGTCATATGCATATTTTTCATTTTTATTTATGGGGCTGAAAAGATGGAAGCAGAAATTTAAATTCACACATAACTTAGTAATACATGTGTAACATATTTTTAGGCTTTATGCCTGTCTTTATTACAACTTGGAGCCAATAGAAGATGAGGACATTGTGGTTTCTTTCATAAATGTTAAACCAACCTGTTACCCACTCTGATGTTAAACCTAAAATTGTAAAAATAAATAAATAAATAAATAAAAGATTAATCTTATATAAAAAAGAGAAGTTTAGATTTGATTTAATCCAACCTTATTTGACATGAGCAAATATTACTGCTGTCAATAGATATTTGTTTAATACCAAAGGATTAAGGTAACCAGATGTCCTAACCAGCTTGGTTAGGACATCTGGTTCCTGATTAGCCTGAATTATCTATTCCAAAGTCCAAAGTGGTTTCCAAATATGACTGAAAACAATTCAAATTCTAAATTCTTCTCTCACACCTGTTGTTGAAGGAATGTTTGCACATGCAAAACAAAAATGCTATTCATGATGGGGTTTTGCCTGCATTCCGGCTTGACAACCCCCCCGCCCTGCGATTTCTGCATGATTTTCTTTATGTGTGTCTACCCACATGACTGCCTGTCCACATGCCACTCTCTTTTGTCCGCCTGTCTCCTCGTTGAGCAGCGACAGGCATTATTTATCCCTCCCAGAACATAAGGTTCTGTTGCCAGTCAGATGGAAAACAAATGAAAATTGGGCTTTTAGACTCTTTCCCTGATTGTCCAATCGGGGTGACGCTAGCTGACACTCTCCCACTGAGTATTTTCCAACACGTCGTTAAGCGAAGCACAGTTTAAGGAGAAAGCCAGTCCAAACACACACTGATGGAAACGCAAACATTAAGACCCATTTTTGTTTTTGAGTAAAGTCTCAGGTGAAACAAGTGATAGAATGATTTATTTATTTTCTCAGCTTTTAAATTTGCTCATCCACCTTTACAAGTATTCTTATTTATTTCTTAGAGAGTTATAAAATTTTCCCAAATCCATATATAATAACTTTATGCCTTGTACTAAAATCTGCCAGAGATATACCATAATACCAGTGGATTATTTGTTGGTTCACACTGAGCTGCCAAAGTGCTGCTTGCTGTCCTTTAGGTAGGAATAATTCCTACAGTGTGCAAATGTTTCCATGTCTTTCTATCTACAGTAACGTGTGAGGGTGTGGGCCCCCTGTCAGAGACCACACTGTGTACATTGACGTTCTAATAACACGCTTCTCTTGTGCTCGCTGCAGGGGGATAACAGTAATTATTCAAATGCAAGGACGCATTCCTGTATTGATAGTAATTATTCTGATCAGCAAGCTGGTTTCCTCTCAGGATCAATGCGTTTGAAGAAAAGGAGCAAAACGGGTGATTGAGAGATAGCATGACATCATGTTGTGCTAATAAGAGGGAATCGCTCACTGGACAAATATCACATCCACATTACAAAGATATCAATAAAGACCAGTTGTGGTCAGGCGTCTTAGCAAAGGTCAGCAATTAACTGCATCCTTAGAAGACTGGAAACAACTTTAAATTCAAGAAAAGGGCAGATGTGCTGACAATTAAGGCATAAAGTGTCTGTCTTTAAAGGTTCATTTTTTGCTGTTTTTGTGAGCTTGCAGGCAGATTTTATAGATGACCATATGCTTGCAGTTAAACTATCTTTACTGAAAAGTCGTTTTTGAAGTATGTAAGACAGACGAGGAACTAACAAAACCAAACATGTAGAGCAAAAACCAAACACTTGTTAAATTCATTGCAGTAAATAGTCTTTTCTAGATGTCACCCTGCTGTTATTTAAGATGCAGGAGTTTTGTAATAGAATGTCTTAAATACCAGGGCCAAAATATATAATTAGTGAATAGATACTCAAATAAATTACATGTCAAATGTTTATCTGTTGATGCTGATTTTGAGGCTGCACTTAAGACATTATACTTGTAAATACAGTACCATACAGTATCAGGGGCAAAACTACATTTATTTATTTTAAGGCGCATACTTTACCTTTAAGAATGGTTAAAAAATTTTAATTCAAACAGTTCGTTTTTTTTACCGTATAAAGCGGAGCATTTACTCATAAGTAGAATAGGAAAGGAATATTAAAAGACAAAGTATTTACTAAGAATACGTTTCCATTCATCCTGTCACACAGAAGAAACCATGGTGACGGTGTCCCATACAGGTATTTTCACATCTGTGTGGATAACTCTGGATTCTGTCTATAGATATTATATACTGTAGTTGGTGTGACAGAGATTTATATCTAAAGTAATCAGCTTGTAATATACCTATAAAAGTTTTTGTATATGTTTATCTATAATATTTAGTAAATATTCTTAAAAAGGTTTAATCTATAAAATAATGGATAGAAAAACATCACAAAAATTTATAATTATAATAGATTAATCAACAGATGCTAAGCACAAATTGGATGTCTAAATAAAACTTCATATACTGTAGACATTTAGGGACTGATGCAGGTTTTGGCTACTGTGAGACCCATGTTATTTTGCTGTATCAGGGTAAAGATGGCTGAATACAGAAACACACTTACGAAACCTTTTATACTTTAAAACTATCTGTAAAAAGTTCAGTTTGTATTAAGTTTGGTATATTTTTGGGTATAGGGCTTTTTTGTTTTATTTATTATCTTTATGAATATCTATGTAATGTCTCTAATATCCTTTCTGTCCACTGCAGGTGTTGGGTTTACAGTGATTCTCATCTCCCTTTATGTTGGTTTCTACTATAACGTCATCATCTCCTGGGCGCTGTTTTACCTATTTTCCTCATTCACCTATGAGCTACCCTGGGTCCATTGCAACAACACCTGGAACAGCCCAAACTGCTCTGACTGGGCGGACAACAGCTCGATTGGTGACATTTACAAAGCCACACCTGCACAGGAGTACTTTGAGTAAGTTTGCTTGAATTTGATAATTACTTAGAATGTCTTGTTCTTCTTTGATTGAAGCATATGCCCTCTACATTGTAGATAATAAAAATAATTACAAACACCTTTCATTTAAAGGTTTATTAAGATTCAGTATATTGCAAGTACATTGCAAGTCTTATCCTACCAATGTACTACGTTTTATTTAGCTGATGTAACTGTCCTCTTTATAAAGCTGAGCAGGTGTCTTCTCTTCCAGCAAGAAAGGGGTTGTTCTGTTGTGACAGTCGCAGCTCTCCAACCCTGATATCTGAGGTGCTCGGGGGGGGGGGATTTTTGCAGAGCCACCTGCAAATAACGTGCTAAAAAATAGTTGTAGATTCTCTTCTAAGGCTCATTTTGATTAAAAACAATTGTAAAATTATGTGATTTAAATATTAAGTCATCATGCCATCTTTCAGCCAATGTGTGTAACACAGCATTTAACATAATAACACATTACATCTGTTACTGTTCATGATTTATAAAATGTCAGCTTTTAGTAGTCTCTACTACCTCACGTTCTATTTGACATTATTTTTAAAAAGTGCAACACAGTATCAGTACATAGGTCAGCCCTTATACCTCTTTCATCCTAACAGAAGAAATCTGCAGGATGTAGAAACCGTTGCAATGAAAATTTTTAAAACTAGAGACCAAGCAGTCTGCTAATTTAGGTTGCTTTATATGATGTTTGAGATGTTTATATGTATTATATTAACTTGTAGTCAAAATTGATCCAACTTGTTATTCAAGGGGTAAGCATTAGCAGAAGAAAAAGCTTTTTTATATAAGTTTATTCCAATTTTTGTCATAAAAATGCAGCCATTATCTCATTCTAATTTGTTTTAGCAACTCTTGTCAAGAATAGTTATTGGCTAGTTGAACCAAAACTGTTAAAAAATGTTTATTTGAAGATAACTTGGGGATATTTGTCCATTAGTAAAGCATTTCTTTTGACAAAAGACATTTTTATGTTTGTTATAAATAAATCCTGGCCCTTATACAAACACACTTTGAATCACATCTCTGACCCTCTGAGGGGACTCCATCCTTTTACCGGGGAACTTCAACACCTATGTGGAAAACAGTGATACCTTGAAGGGTGTGATTTTGAAATATGGACCTCTTTGCTTGCAAATACTACAATTGGGGTATAAAGTGGGTTGGCCAGCTGCTGACTTTAAATTAGGATATTATCAGAATGTAGAATACACTGATCATCATTGAGGACCCAGCCATAGAAATTTGGACCAGGTCTACACTCTCTGCAGGGTGCTTGTGGGTTCATGGGAGATTGCCCAAGTAGTACATGTGTGCTTTCTGGAGTTGGAGAAGGCATTCGACTGTGTCTCTTGTGGTCCCCTGTAAAGGGGTGCTTTATTCAGTAGCCCTTTGATAGGGGCCCTATAGTCTCTTTATAAGTGGAAAAAGAGTCTTGTCCACATTGACCTGTTTCTGGTACAAACACAGGCAGGGCCACCCTCTGTGACCAGTCCTATTTATAACTGTCATTGACAGGATTATCAGGGGTGAACAAGGGCCAAAGGGGTCTGGTGTAAGTATGGTTGGAGGATGGAATGGAGTTTCTTCCTCAATTAAAGGACTTTAAGCATTCCAGGTTTTGGTCATGAGTGAAGCTCAAATAAGCCTCCTCTGCAAGATGGCTGGACACTCCCTTAGAGATAGGATGAGGAAATCAGCAATCTGGAAGAGGCTCATAATTGAGCTGCTGCTTTTACATCGAGAGAAGTCACCTGAGATAGCTCCAGCAATTCTTTCCAACACATCCTTCAAGAGGTGCTTCAGCAACATCCCACTGGGTGGAGGCCCAGGCGACACTCTTCAGAGACTATATCTCTTGGCTGGCCTGGGAACACTCATGCTTTCCCCAGATAATCTGGGGCAGGTATCTGGGAGAAGCTGATTTAAGGGTCTCTCTTGAGGCTGATTCTGACCTGGTCCCACATAAAGATTAGTCAAAGAAGCAGCCTCAGCAAATAGCTGCTTTAAGAATTATTTTTTTTTTTTTTTACCATCCATCCATCCTCTCTCACTTATCTGGGGTCAGGTCGTGGGGGTACAGCTTCAGTAGGGAGGCGCAGATGTTGTTCCTCCAAGGGAATCCCAAGCCGTTCCCAAAAATATAATATGAGAAAATATAGTCCCTCCAGCATGTCCTGGATCTCCTCCCGGTGGGACTTGCCTGGAACACCTCACCAGGGAGGCATCTGGAAGGCATCCTGACCAGATACCAAAGCAACCTGAACTGGCTCCTCTCAACGAGGACGAGCAGAAGCTCTACTCTGAGTCCTATCCGGAAGAGTGAGCTCCTCACCCTATCTCTAAGAGAGAGTACAGACACACTACCGACAAAACTAAGCTTTGCCTTTTGGCAAATCTCTCTCTTTACCACAATGGACCAGTACAGCGTCCACTTCACAGCAGATGTGGCACTAATCATCCTGTCAGTCTACTACTCCATCTTCCCCTCATTTATGAACAAGACCCCAAGATACTCAAACTCCTCCACTAGGGGCAGTACATTCACCCCAATCCAAAGAAGGCACTCTACCCTTTTCTGACTCAAGACTATGGTCTCAGATTTTGAGGCACTGATCCTCATTCTGGAACCTTCACACTTAGTTGCAAACCACTCCACTGAGAGCTGTAGATCACGAGTGGATGAAGCTAATAGAACCATGTCATCCGCAAATAGCAGAGACGCGATTCAAAATGGATCACCCTCTGTCCATAAAAGTTTTGAACAGAATCGGCAACAAAGTGCAAGCTTGACGGAGTCCAACCCTCACTGGAAACAAGTCCAACTCACTGTCAGTAATGAGGACCAGACTCTGACACTGATCATACAGAGACCTAACCTAGACCTTATTAAAGGGCCTGGTACTTCATACTTCAGTACTTTCCACAGGACCCCCAAGGGACAGATGAATGCCTTTTCCAGATCCACAAACACATGTAGACTTGTAGGGTAAACTCCCATGCACCCTGCAGGATCCTGCTGAGGGTGTAGAGCTGATTCAGTGTTCCATGCCCAGGTACTGCTCTGCTTCCCACTTCTGAGACACCAGATATGGGACCAGAATCTATTTGAAGCCATACAGAAATCTTTTTCCATGGCCTCTCCAAACTCTTACCATGTCTGACCTTTTACCTCAACAACCAACCGAGCCAACAGCTGCTTTGATGGCCGGTACACATCAGCTGCCCAATAAAAACCAAATAGCACTCTTTCTTTAGCTTGACAGCTTCCCTCACCGCAGGTGTCCACCAGGGTGTTTCGAAGATTGCCGCCGCAACACGCACCAACAACTTTGCGGCCACAGGGGATGCAGAGTAGGAGCAAAGATAAGAGAGAGAAATAGATACTCGAGCTGTCTCTTCCTTCAATCATCATAGGCAGTCTGAGATCATTAGAAAACAAGTTAGAATAACTCCAAGCTCTAGCATCAAAGATGGATAAGAAGCTGATTAGAGGAAGCTGGTTAATTGCTTTGTGGCCTTTTTCGGCCTTTCTTGCAAGATGCTGCATATTTAAGTCTTTTAAGTCTTTTGTGGAGAGTGTGATCACTTCTGCCATCAAAAGCTGGGGTAACAACATCAGAGCAAATGACTTAAAGAATCTTATAAAGAAGACCGGCTGTTTTCTAGGAACCCCTTTGGAAACTCTGGAAATTATTTCACAAAGAAGAATTCTTCTAAACTGAAGCACAGTATGAACAACAGTGAGAATCCTCTTCAGAAGATTTCTAAATAACGGTGCCTTCAGTCAGAGGCTTCTCCAGATCTGGTGCAAGACAGACAGCTACAGAAGATCCTTCCTACATATGGCTGTCAACACCTACAACACCTGGTTAAAAAAACAAAAAAACAACAACACTTATGAGTTACTGTAACATTTAATGTCTCCATTAAATCCTGGAATTACTAAAGTTTTTGAATGGAATTGAATGGAATTGAATTTAAATTTGTAATACTAAGCTGTCTTAAATATCAGTCATCCGATATTCACATCAGTATAATAAAGTATATTCACTATCATTTTTACATATAAAGAAACTGGTTTTAATTGGTATGCAGATATGTATTTCTTCAACAAGTCAGAGCTTGTGTTTGCAGGAGGCTTGTATGCGGCATGGAAATGGGGGAAATAATGTTTTTTTAAGGTTTTATTCAAGGATTTTTATACTTATCTATACTGTATGCAAGAGGTTATTGTTCCTTTTTTTACTGAGTAAAATTGTTCCAGATGTTTTTATAATCTTTATATCATTTTTATAATCTCTTTTTTTAGATTATTGTTAAATTATTGAGCTACTTGTATGAGTTCTGTTGCACTTCAAGCTTGCTCGCTACAATTACAATTATTCTATTCTATCCTGAATGCTCTGTGTTCCAGACGAGCGGTCCTCCATATTCAGGACAGCAATGGTATTGATGACCTTGGACGTCCACGTTGGCAGTTAACTTCCTGTTTGGCTGTTGTGATTATTTTGCTCTACTTTAGTCTCTGGAAAGGAGTAAAGACATCTGGCAAGGTAGGAATTGCATCTGACATTATAAAAGTAAAACAATCATAGACATCTATTGCGCTTATTTCCCATCATACTAAGTTTAGAATTAAGGAAGTCTTGAACTCAAATCCCTGCTCAACATTCTCTCTATCACTTGTGTAGATGTTTTTGTGCCAGCTTTAATTTATTCTTGTTGTAAAGGTTGGGTTATCTGTAAGTTTATGATAATGTGTTTCTGTGCCATGTGACTCTTTAAGGTTGTGTGGATCACAGCAACCATGCCCTATGTGGTCCTGACTGTGCTGCTCCTCCGTGGAGTAACTCTGCCTGGAGCCATCGATGGTATTAAAGCGTACCTTTCTGTCGACTTTCTGAGACTCTGTGATGCCAAGGTGAGTCCAGAGGATAAAAGGGAGATTAGAAGGGGATGCCACATGGGGAGGAAAGGGGTGGCTGAAAGCTCTCTGAAGGAATACTTTGACATTTTGTCTGTCTATTTCTCTGTCAAGCACAGACCTACAACTTTCTACGAAACCTGAAATCTAATAAACTAATGTGTTAAAAACCACAGCTTGCATTCTCTAAAACAAAGGGTCAGCTATAACTATTGGAACTCTTGTTATAGGTGGGTAAATAGGGTGAAGTCAAACAGATACAGTTACATATGTAAGGTCTTAGCAATTAATAAATTAATAAATAAATGTTGCTGAAAAAAAATTCTATTTATAGATTTAACTTTCTATGATGATCAGAGGTCCTAGAACTGTTTTTAATCATTTATGATGTATTGTTTTTTTTGTTTTGTTTTTTTGGGGGGGGATATGACATGACAAAATAATTTTCTTTAGTCCCTTCACACTTGGTTAGATGAGGACCAATATCTATTTTCACACCTCACGCATCTGAGCGAAGCTAAAAATAACTTTTCTGTCCTACCATAACAAATCGAAGCACATTATTTTTTTTAAACTGCTGGGATTTTAACGGTAACCTTCTGCTTTCTATGATGAGACTAATATTTAGCCTTTTGGACCAAAAACACTGAATGTGGGCTTGGTTTTAGACAAGGATGAACTGGTGGAAAAGCATCTTATGCCCACTGTGAATTACAAATGAAAATCTGTGATGCTCTGAGCCTGTAGCCTTTAAAACACACTTGGAATTTTTGTTTAAGGCCACCATATATTCTAAAACCAGACTAAAATGTAATGGAGCTACTGTGTTGGCAGCAGGGATACAATAAGTAGATCACCAGTGATTAAGACAAAAGAGTTATTTCTTTGAATGGGTTTTTTCTCTGATTGAATAATCCTCTCAAACTAACAGCTTTGTATTCATCAAATTTTATTCTGAGTTGGCCTTTTTGTGAGTTGTGCTGCAGCTGTTCAACCATGGCAGGATGGCACTTTGCAAAGAACAATTATAAAAGGACAGGAACAGATTCTAAATGCATTTGCTTCCATTCATGCCAAGGCTGAGTAGTTTAGATACTAATCTGTACTGACGTGTGAAGCTGAAGTTCACAAAAAACAGCTTAGGAACAGCAAGATGTGAAAACACCCTGTGTATGGCTGTAGTTGCTGCATCTGCAGTTTACCTGTTGGTTTTATATGCAAACTGATGTTGGACAGAGGGTGGATATTTTTGATGTGCCTTAAGATTAATCATCCAAAATACTCCAACGGATGTAGGAGCCAAAGGTCTATAGTAATTCATGCAGCTTGCAGCTGATTTTAAAGAGTGAAACAATGATTGCAGATTTAAGAAATGTCATGATATTGAGGGACATGGGGACATTGGAGGTGGGAGGGAAAAAAAACCATCAGTAAACTGGTTAGGACTTTCCTTTCTGGACTCTTCCTGGAATCCCATCAGCACCTACAGCCTTCTTTGAATCCACATGTGGAGAGCACTTCAGACTTCTTCTATGGTCACCAAGTGCCACATTGACTGCAGTTGGAGATGGTATGAAATCAGAATATGCCCCACTCATTTCAAAATGAGAAAATAATTTAACAAGCTCTCAACTAAGTTGCTGCTGATCCTTATGCTTGTTGAAGCCACTGAAGTTGGTAAGATGTTGGAATTCCTGTCACATTCAATGGGCATTCCCCTCTTAAACTACCCCTTCAGTCTTTCACTTGTCAGCTATATTTGCCTATTTAGCATCTTTCTTTATGTCAGATATGAAAGCACTATATAATGTCATGTTACCATAACAAAAGACTTTGTCTTGATCCCTTCGTAACAAACTTTTTCACAGTTTGTTGTTTTGAATGCATCTGAACTTTCATTCAACCATGATTCACAAAAATATATCAAAGATATATAATGAACATTAGTTTCTGTATGGTGATTTTACTCCTGCTATGAAAATAGCGAGCAGTCCTACTGTATATATACATATGAATTACACTTTTCTCTTATTTATTTTAGCTTTTATTTTATATGTTCATTGAAATTAAATGGAAATGTGTTTTAGCTGTTTGCTAAGATCTGGAAGATCTTGCCTGCTGTGAGAAGTAAGAATTAAAAATGGCAATGGAAAATCTCAGTGATCTGGGTCGTGGTAGGCACACACTACCTTAAACGAGATGGAACCTTTTGCTCAACTTTTCAGAAATTGTTTCAATTCAGTTTTAGACCCCGAAGACACAAAGTGAGCTACCTGTTGTTGGAGTGCTGATGCTTTTAAGCACATGGATCAGAATTCAATTAAGCATTTTATTGACTCATACAGGCAAGTAATAGGCCTTAACAGGATTACAAAATGTTACTTTATTTTTACTGTCCCACACCTGCTATTCATTAATTTTAGCTGTCATGGAGCTTAAAAGCAAACATGGAAGACCAAGATTGAGACACCTTGATGGAGAGACACTGAGAAATTTATGTGAGCAATTGGCGAATTAGACTAAATAGATGCATGGAGCAGCAATTTGCAAAATTACCCCCCGTATTCACATGTGTCTTTCATCTACTGCTGTTGAATGAGTTCCTGCAATTATCTCTAATAATGGCTTTTTTCCTCTCCTGCGCCTTTTGTTTGCCGCTTCACACAAGTGTGCTTGTTCTTTCGCTCCCCAGGTCTGGATCGAGGCTGCAACACAGATCTGTTTCTCGCTGGGTGTGGGGTTTGGTGTGCTAATTGCATTTTCCAGCTACAACAAATTCAGCAACAACTGTTACAGGTACAAACACACAGACACACACACAAATCCAGTGATAGGCAGGTGGAGGTTCATCAAGGCAGAAAGAGGTGGAGAACTTCTGTTGTTCAAGCATGCATGCTGCACAAGCAGGTAAAATAAAAATAACCTTTGAAGGTTTAAAAACAAATGTGTTTGACAAGAAGCTAGGTGACAAAAAGCTTTAAAAGGCAAACTACTAAATTCTTGGACAATTATAAGCCTAAGGAGGCGTTCAGCCTCCCTTCTATATTGTTTGTGATAACTGAGATTAAAGACAGAAAAAAGGTTTAGAATTAGATTACCCCAAGTAGCTACAAGTTAAGCTGTAAATATATTTTGTTTAGTCCGCTTTTAAAGATTTTCTCTATCATATTCTTTGCTTAATCTTTTTTTTTTTTTACAATTTACCAAAACAAAAGAGTAGATAGTTTGCCACTTAACAATTTGACACTAATACCAGGAAATAACTAGCATTCTAGCTTTACACAGGTATAGAAAAAAAAAAAATGCCTGGACACTGCCCTGGCATTTTTTGGTTGTGACAGTGCACTCGCATTCTGACTTCTGTTTCGTTTCACCAAGGGATGCCATCATAACCAGCTCCATCAACTCTTTGACAAGTTTCTTCTCTGGATTTGTTGTCTTCTCCTTTCTTGGATACATGTCCCATAAACACAACGTGGCTCTAGATAAAGTTGCAAGAGATGGTAGGTTTTTGTAATGACAACAACCTCTTAGTTTAATATGTTATTCCAAGTAGAACACACAATTGCCTTTATTGTTTTATCATTTCTAAAAAACTATTTCTTGTCTTCTTATATGTCAATAAAACTAGTATATGTTGTGTAATATGAGCTATTTTTTGACCTCTCTGTCTTGGATACAGCTTTGAATAAACAAATGTAATCAACCTAACAGATATAACATTGAGCCCATGTCCAAGAAAGTGCTGTTTACTTTTTTACTGCCAGAATGATGGCACACACCTCAGGTTGTGTTGTGGTATCCAGTACTACCATTTTGCCTGTGGAAACTTTAAATGATTCAAAACTGAGAAGTTATGATTCCATGGATTAGTCTTTGTCCAGCACATCCTAAAAGTACATGATCTTATTGAAATCTGCTCAATCTGAATTTAATTTCCCTTTGGGATTTATAAAGTATTATTGCACTGAATTATTTAGAACCTTATGCTGTCCAAATCTTTATTTAATTTATTTGATTTTTGGCAAGAAAATGTGTTCTATTAAAATAGACCAGTTTAATGAGCCTATATTATTTACCTTCTGAAAGCATTGCAACCATGTAGACCATTGGGAAAGAAAGCATTGTGATGCTAATTTGTGTTAGAACCAGCACCAGATTTTGTAGTCATCTGAGCTACAACAGGTTGTCTGTTAGACACCACCATACCAGTCAGTCTCCACTCTCCATATGATTCAATGATACTTGGGTGTCAATTAACCTTTTGAAAGTTTAAAAAAAAATTTTTTTTGCACTTTTGATTTAACTGCCAGCTGCAGATTCGGAGCACCCCATTAAAGCTGCTTCATTGGTTCTAACCATCACTATCCACTGTCAAACACCGTCAAATCCTGATGCTGTATCTTTTTCAAATATGAGGTTACAAAATAACTTCTTACTTTTATAACTCACCCAGCAAAGGGTTAAAAAAAAAAAAATTCTGTTTCATAATATTGCAAAAGTAGGCCTGATCATTCCATGTGATCTACTGCTCACTGCTTGATGTTTCTCTTCCTTAGGTGCTGGGTTAGTGTTTGTCATTTATCCAGAGGCCATTGCTACGTTACCTGGGTCATCAGTGTGGGCAGTGATTTTTTTCATTATGCTGCTGACACTTGGTCTTGACAGTGCAGTAAGTAGTTCTGCAAACCCATCTTATTTTAACCACTCTAAGTAAAACGTTCCTCAATTACGAACAAACACTTTTGGAAATTCACTGTGATGCTATGTTTCCAACATCTGTTGGTTATTTATTCGCATGTAAGGTAGAAACATAACAATCTAAGTTTTGTGACCAAATTTGAATTTTTGGTTTATGTAAAATTTTACCATTTCTCATTAATAACTGTATTATAGGAAGTCATAACAACATTATAGATAGACTTTTGTTTATGACTTATTATTATAACTACTGCTGTGACTGTTGCAATTATTCAGATGAGGAGCAGAGTCACGTTTAGATTTGTGACTGTAAGGTTTTTCTTAGAAGAAAATTTTAATGAAGGAGCTGTTTTTTTCTACAAATAAAACAAAGTTTTTAGAATTGGTTTAAACTAGCTGTTTTATCTTATACTTGTGATTAGTGTGACCAACCTTAGACCAAAAGTTGTCTTTGTATTGTATGTACACTATAGAAAATGTGGACCCTGACCTTAACTGGAATGAAACGACTGCCCTCATTCAGAACTGACTATGTTCCACAATAGACCTGGGGGCCTTCATACTAATCTGCCCTCTCAGTTTCTCTCCAAAAGATGGAGTTAACTGCAGACACGTGAAAGAAAACACCCTTACCAGTTTATTAGCTTCTTGCACATTATAATTCTTTAATTAGATCTAATTTTAAAGTTTTCTTTTGGAATAGTACACTGATCAATCAAGCTTAATAATCTCTGATTCAGGTTGGAAGCAAATTCCCTGAGCTACTCTAACACTGCTAAATACAAAAAAAAAATCCTATAGTAGATAAAGGTAAAGAAGTATTTTAACTGTTTTTCTTTTTTGTTCTTTTCTTGTCTAAATAATATCAGACCACAGTCTACGGTTTGATTCTCTCTAACTTTGTGTTTTCTTTTGACTCCTGTTTTTCTTCCTATACGTAGATGGGTGGTATGGAGTCTGTGATCACAGGGGTGATAGATGAATTTAAATTCCTTCACAAACACAGAGAGCTGTTCACCCTGTTCATCGTTGTTTCAACATTTCTCATATCCCTCTTCTGTGTCACAAATGTGAGTTTCCTGAACCAGAAAACTTTTGCAGGCCAGACTTGTTTGCTTGGTCAATAATCATCTCTGCAATGTTGTTAAATTAAACTGTATTTAAACTTGACTTTTAAAAAAAGAGAAGAGAAAAAAATGACTAATCATTGCTCTGCCAAAAAATGACTACCATGTAATAAAATCTTTCACATTGCCAAACAAAACTTATTAAGCTTAATTGTGTTTTTCTGTTTTCCTACAGGGAGGGATGTATGTGTTTACTCTGCTGGATCACTTTGCAGCAGGAACATCGATTCTCTTTGGAGTGCTTATTGAAGCCATCGGCATCGCCTGGTTCTATGGTGAGAAAGATGAGGAAAAGTAACGAGAAAAGAAACCACTTCATTTTTTTCCTGACCAGCAAAGCTGATGCTTTATTAAGGGCATGAAGAGAAATCGGTTGGTCTGAGTATTGTGTGTGTCCAAAAACAACATACCTTTTATTAGATGAAAGAAAGTTTATTTTTACTTATAGTTTTGGCCTCTGCAGGTCTGCCTGCAAGATATGCACAGGCTCTTATTAAACTGTTCGGTGTGATCCTTATAAAAAAGAGAGAGTCTGAACATTGACTGTGTTACCTCTCTGCTCACTCAGCAATGGTGAGTCAAAAACCATGGAAATTCTTGCTTCAATACTTCCAATTTGTCATAATCTGACAAACAACCACAGTTTATGCATTTCTGGTTGAATTAAATCTAGTTATTTGTTTGCTGTTTTAAAAATATGTAGTCCTTAATATAACAGATAAGATAAATCTTTATTCTCATCTACACTGTACCTCCATGTGACCAAAGCTGTGGCAAAATGATTCAGAATGTATCAGCTTCTCACTCTAGCTTTCCTTAGATTTAGATGTGTACATCAAGCTTAAAACGTGTTGGATTTTACATTATAGTTTAATTTAATCTGGTTTTAACCCCTTTTCTATAATTCAGCGAGTTTTCTTTTTATCAGTTTTATAAATCCTAGGGCTAGTTTAGCTTTCTTTAGTGGTAGTACGATCCTCAGCTCTTTAGTCACAGTTTTTTTTTGTTTTTGTTTATGTTTATATATATATATATAAAGACATAATACAAGATGCCATTTTCAAAGAATGGTTCAATAATATTTGATAGAAACTTACTGTTGTGAAAAAAAATGCAAAATAACTTTTTTCTCTTTGTATGGCTTATAGATATATGGACAAAAAGTAATATTTTCACTACATGAAGTTAGTTTTATAAGAGCACAATACAGTTTATTTATAGTTTTTCCTTTTAATTGCTGTTTTATTTAATCCGGTCAACAACAATGGTGGGCTAAAAATGTTCAAATATCAGTTTTTGTTGTTTCATTAGATTGAGTTACCTGTAATAACCCCGGTGTGCAAGCATTGTGGTCTGTCCTGGTGACCTGTGTTGGCCATGTTATGTAGTTATGACCTACTCAGGGTTTACCCAAGCTCCTGCCCGTTGAGCACTGGAGTCATTGGATGACCTTAAGGGCCCTCAGTAAGGGTTGTGTGGAAGCTAAGGACTGAAGAATATGGAAAGCTAGATGGATGAGTAAATGGATTGAGTAGGGGATAGCAGTTTGGTCCTACAGCTGGAAGGATGCCTGGTAGAACTTCTTGATGAGATATCTTTTTTCATTTTGTTTTTTTTTTATCGGTATGCCTTTTTTTCTCTCCCATTTATCTAGTTCCTGGAGCTGTTAAAAAGTACTTGTACTGGGTTCATTCGTGATGGGGTCTTAAGCTGCATACACACAAAATGTTACATTTGTAACATTTACTGTAGTCCAACATAAATAATAATAATAATGATAATTACAACAAAAACAGATTGTGGGTATTAAAGCATGTAGCCTACATGCGACAAATGAAAAGCATCTGGTATGAAAGAATTTGATGTTAACTTCCATACAAAGCCCCTCCACCCCACCCCCCCCAGTTCTTACCTACAATTTGGAGAGGTGAAAAAAACTGTCTGAATATTATCAAGGCCTCAGGCAAAGGGGTCAGCTTATTGCCCCTTTGCTTGGTCTTGACCTTGGCAAGCCCAATAAATCAAGCCTGAGGCCTCAATGGGCTTTTATTGGTCTTTTCCCTTATAACTACTGACAGAAACCCTTGACCCTCTGGCTACTGTGGTCTTTGATTCTGCTGTCTGCTACTTTAGGACTATTTGTTGAACTAAATACCTGGTCGTCAGTCTGGATATATTTTTCTGCGCTGAGGAATGCCCTCCAGGCACCAAAGCACTGGATAGAAAGTCATAAAAAATTAAAAGGAATAAGTGAAGGTAATGTCTGTCTTTGTAGGATTACCTTTTGCAAAGTACAGATCTTGCTCATATTTGTGATCATACAGGAACTTTACAGGATGTGAATTTTGACTATACCTTTCTTATTTTTTCTCCCCTATTTATTTAACAAGTAGAGAGACAAAGAAAAAGAAGGATGATACTCTGATCTCTAATTAAAATTAACTTCCCATTTAACACGAATCAGACTTTTGAGTTAACCTCTTTGTTCACTTTCTCAAATTTCCAGATAAATCTCACATCTTATGAGAAAGGTGCAAGCATGATTTATTTTCTCCTTCTGCTCTCAGTGATGTATTTTTCTAAGCACATTGTTGGTCGTTAGTTTTCTTATATCCTGCTATTTTTTTCTCACTTTAAAAGCAATTTAAAAAATACAGATTTTGCATGCGCACAACTACAGACATGCAAGGGTGTACAACTATTAGTTTGTTTGTGGCAGTTGGCAGTGTTATATTCTCCATCTTATATGTCTGAGAAATGACTTGATTCTTGCGTTTCTAGACCTCTAAAATTATACAATTTATCATTACTAACAATAAGTCAATGTTATCTCAGAGAATAGCTTTCAGATCTAGAAACAGACTGTCTCCCATAATGTTATATATAATTTAACTTTATTGATCTTACATTGGAGCATTTAACCCATCCCCTTAGGGATGGGTTAAATGCAGAGGGCTGCCATCGTGGGGACCCAGGGAGCAGTGTGGGGTTAAGGGTCTTTGCTCAGGGAGCCAGAGTGGCAGTCTGTAGCAGTGGGGCTCGAACTTAAAACTTCAGGATTCCAAACTCTATGCCCTAACTATTCGGCTGCCACTTCCCCACACATATATGTTGGAATATTTAGGAGCAATTCTTTTATTAATCCGAAGGTAAAAAAAAAATGGCTGTTACATAAAACATCATGTTCTGTTGTATGATCAAAACATGTGTGTAACTTTGATGCAGTCCCATTCTGAATAGTGCATGTAGTTTGGAAACAGAATTGTGAAAGATCTATGGTGTTCTTTTTATAGAAGAAAATTAGCTTATCTCATTGCATTACTTTCATTTGTTATTACTTAAGGATTAACTGAGTGTTCATAACTGGAATTGTAATACCTTATGAACAAATCTCATTAATGAAGCTTACAAATAGACAAAGCTGGACCTGAAACTTGAGCGCATCAATTTCCACCTAAATATTGTGGTCAATAAAACTTGTCTTGAAAAGGTTTACGGTCCATGAGGCCAACTCTGCCCATGTGTGCAGCGTACTTACATTTTCGAGGCAGGGGTCACTGGAGACACATGGTGAGTTTGTGAAATGATGACAGGTTGCGACAGAATTTCTCTCAGACATCCAATTTCACTTCCCATGAAGCTTTAATTGTAGATCACCTTTATTGGATCAAAACCACAGTATATGCTTTTACTGGTAAGCTGTAATGATACACCAAGAACTGTCACATCAACAACAAAGATTAATAAACCAGCTTACATTTGAAAATCAAAGCTGAAACGTGTCAATATTACCAACATCCCAATTGTAGACTGACACCAACCATCTTGACATATCAGAGTTTAGGATCAGACTCTCATTTTTTTTTTTTTTCTCTGTGTTTAGGAGTGGATCGGTTTAGCGATGACATAAAAGAGATGATCGGCCACAGACCAGGGAAATACTGGAGACTATGCTGGAAGTTTGTCAGCCCATGCTTTCTCTTTGTGAGTCCTACCCACAGTAGACTTGTACATTATAATGGAAACATGCACAAAGCTGATACCAAGCAATAGTTCTACTCAAGACTACCAGTTTAAAGAGTGTCTGAAATGTGTTTTCTTTGTTGTTGTTTTTTTTTTTTCTATGTACAGTTCATGGTTGTGGTGAGCTTTGCCACATTCAACCCTCCAAATTACGGCTCTTACATGTTTCCTCAATGGGCTAACCTTCTAGGGTGGTGTCTCGCCATGTCCTCAATGACCATGGTGCCACTGTATGCCATCTACAAACTCTGTACACTACCTGGAAGTTTTTGTGATGTGAGTCTCCATGATCAAAACAATGTATCTGTCATCATGTTGTGTTTTGATCTTTTTTAACTGTTTTATGATGAGCGATAATCACACTTTCCTTACAGCGGCTAGCCTATGCCATCACCCCTGAGACAGAGCATCATCTGGTCGACAATGGGGAGGTGCGGCAGTTCACTGTGAGTACAACCTTAATCCTTAGTAATTGAAAAAGATAGATTTTCAAGTGCACATGTTGTTCTCACTTCCTTGATCTTACAGTTTAGCGCTCCATGTCTATCATGATTTTACAACTAAAGTCTGTAGTTTTAAGTCATGCTCTGTTTTTATCCCACAGCTGCATCACTGGTTGGTTGTTTGAGCTGCAGAAAGACACGCAGACGGAGTGAAAGATAAAGAATGTCAGAGTAGATGCTGGATGCATGCAAAAAAGTAGTCTAAAGAGCTTAAGAGTGAAGACAGCCATGCAACTGATTGCAGGGAAAATGATGCAGAGTTTAAAAGTGCCAAGAAAAAAAAGAGAAAAAATAAAATCCACAGAAATTGTAGTGTTGTTACATTTTAATAGTGGATGTGTAAAACTGTGCATTGGCCGACATCTTCTGTTTTTCCACAGGCACATGACTAATTCAGTAAAACTGGTGTTCATACTGCTATTTCCATAAATGCCATTCATTCATGAAAACATAAATGGAGGTTTTAGCCTACTAGATATTAGTGTGTTGAATCGCTCTTTTTATAACAGTAAGCATTTCTGCTAATGAATAGTCAGAGAAATATATAGTGAACATTATTTGAAGTTCTCAGAGAGAAGATTTGGGATAGCAGATTATTAAATTACTAATTTTGTAGAGGTGCTACATAGAATATTTTATGTTATTTTTTCTAATAGATTTAAAACTGAGAGCTTATTTAACATTTTTGCGTATCTACATACCTAATAATTATTTAGCACTAAAATGATTAAACAAATATATTCTTACTGAATCTTAGTTTCAGACAGGACTATGTCGTTTTTTTCTTTACTTAATGACTGTTATGATTGCTAAAGCCTTAAAATATTTAAATATCAAAATTGCTTATTGCTTCGAAAGACTGACTTTATTATTTCTTAAATTTTATTAATATTATTTAGGTGTCAGAATAACCCATATGAACAACAGCAACTGACCTTTTGTTGCACAATTTAGAACATAAATTTTAAGATATTAAACAAAAGGTTTGCAAAAAGGAAACCTCAGAGCCCCCAAAAGGTCCTTTTTAATTATTCTATTAATTGTTCACCATCAGTTAATTATTAATATTCTTTGATATGTAAAGGAATACCGGTGCAATGGTATCCATACTGTAGCTTAATCAGTGGTAAAACTACTGTGAGTATTTACTATTACTGACGTCTCTGCAGCCTTCATGGTGGTAGCTCAGGTACTGGGATGTTTTTTTTTTTTAAGCATCATCTAGTTTTATATTATCAGTCTATTCATAATGTCTTGAATTGCAACTGAGATCACTAATGGGTTTAGTGATCCTTCTAGATCAGACCATGAGGTATTTTTTGGAGAATGCAAAAGTATTTCAGAGGAAAGCTTTTGTTACTGTCATTATTTCTTAAAGGGAGCAACTGAACTCTTTTTGCAGAGCATTTGGGGAATTGGGGCTTTAGAAATACTAAGAAAACACTAAACAAAAATATGGTTTTCCCTGGTTATTAAAACACTTCTTAAACTGGTCAGATGAAAATTGCTGCAATCACATGCATTCATATAGAAAAAACCTATTAAAAGTTTTTTGTTTTATTTTTAAAGTGAAGGAGCTGTAACATTATACCTTATTTTCCATAAAACCATAGATGGATGGATTCTATGTATAACTATAAAACATTTACTTGAGTATTTTACATTTCTAGCTGAACTGTATTAAGAAATCATTTCAAAACAGGAAAGAGCAGGGTTGTGAGAAGCAGAAAGAAGTATTTCAAAGACGAGTCACTGACACTGAAAACTTAGAAAATAAAGTAATGTGCCTTTTAGTTTTATTTGGTGGCTTAGATGTATTTTTTTTATTAATTGAGGTTAATTTAATGACTGCTAATCAATTAGATATAGAACAATGTTTTTTCTATATCAGGTTGTTATATGAAGGATGTAACTGTGTATACATTTTCACTGCTCTAAGACTAAAAGCTATTCACACCTGGTCCAAAGTTTTGCTCAAAGCAGTTTAAAATTCTGACAGAGTTTTATTAGTATAGCAGTGGTAAGATCTTTGTGCCAAGGACTGCAGATGGACCAAAGTGGAATCAAACATGAATTGCACAAAAAAGCAAAAAAAAAAACTGACAGCTATGGGTCAGCAACATTAATTTTAACAGCTTAAATGTATTAACAGAAACAGAAAATTACATAAATAGTTAAATTCTTACCAAACTGGCTAAAATCACTTTGACCTTTTGAAGGCTCTCTGCCCTATCTCTAGACCAGATAGGATGAATCACTGATCAGCCAAAGAACAGAAATACTTCCATAAATGGGATAATTTTGTATCACAACTTTTCCCTTAAGAAGTAAACTGTTACTAAATCACTGCCACTATATTTCTGTCAGTCCTCCAAGGGCATTACATGAAAGTATCAACTGTCATGTTTCGGCATTATGCTTTAATTTAATAGTTTACTCAAAACTGTAAATTAAGACTGTTTAAAAAGCTGCTTTTCTTCAAATAAAAAAATCTGTGTATTGTGTAATAATGAAATTATTTGTAAATAATATATATTCAAATTATCTATCATCTATCTATCTATCTATCTATCTATCTATCTATCTATCTATCTATCTATCTATCTAGAGAATAGATTTATTCAGAATTAGGATATTAAAGAGGAATATATTAAAATGTATTTGTTATTAGGTTGATAGGGGTTTTTTTTTGCGTTTGAAGCTGTTTCAGATCCCTGAGAAATTATTCCCTGATTGGTCAGCAATGACTTGTGTTTCCCCTTTATGGTACATGTAACACACTGAAGGGTTATTTTTGTCCCAAGTTGTATGCATGTGCTGCTGTACTGTGCTCGCTGGTGTTCTTGACTGTATGATTTTGTTTTGTACTGTCAATGAAGTATTACAATAAAATTGTTATTTAAAACCTAGCCTCTGTTTCCTCACCTTAACTACTTAGATTAAATTGGAGGTACACGTCTCACATTCTTTTTTTTCTTTTGCTCAGGAACCCAGAGTGGCAGTCTGTTGGAGTGGGGCTTGAACTCAGAATCTCTGGATTCCAAGCAAAATGCCCTAACCACTAGGCTGCCACTCCCCTATTCTAGTGGTTTCCTAAATGCTGTATTGATATTTATGTATATAGGTTGAATAATGTTGACAATTAAAATATAAAACCTAATTGCATTAAAAGAATCAAATGACCCAGCTTACATGGAGTGATCAGACATGGGATTATCAATCCATACCAACACTGTTTATAGCTCTCACTGCCTTCAGAAGTTTCTGTTTACACACGTGTTTTGCAATCTGAACATCTTCAGTTGAATACAATAGTATTAATTACTGAGGATAGAGATGAAACTTCTACAATGGACTGGCGACCTGTCCAGGGTGTACCCCGCCTCTCACCGCCTCAGCTGGAGATAGGCACCAGCACCCCTTGTGACCCCACTCAGGATAAAGTGTGTCAGAGAATGGATGGATGGATGGATGGATGGATGGACATGAAACTTCTAATCCAGGATTACTAATTCCTTTTTCCTGGTCCAATTGAATACTGTAAACTGTTCCTCCTTGCACTTGCTACTAGCTCTGCTTTTGTTCCATTTTGCTGTGTCAACAATAAGAACGCTATCATGGGTAGGGAAGGAACTCCGGACTGCAGAGTCGAATTCAAAGAGCCCTCGGCCTTATGGACGTCATCACACAACAGAAACATACAGTGATGATGCTTACCACCTCCAGGGCTCCATCACTAATTCCTCAAATTATGGCCAGCTACCTCCTGTTCCTAGCTCCTGTCTCTTCACTTTTCCGGGGGTCAACAGTAAGAACTTCTTCCAGGGTGGGAAAAGAGATCCAGACTGACAGGCCTTCCAGATATCATTACGTGATGGACAAACACATAAATAATGCTGGTCAAATCTGGACAACCTTCCAGAAAAACAAAACAAAAAAAACAAATGTAGCAAACAAATGAAGCTCTCCCTCATAAAACCTCGAACAATGAAGGTGAGGAAATTTCATGTGTCACACACAGTACATGTCACAAAATAGTGTATTTTTGTTTAACTCCGTGAGGTGGGCTGTGCCTATATGTTCTGTCAAACAAAGGATTATGGGCAACCCTACAGCTCCTTGTGGTGGCGAAGTTCTCTATGCTAACTGGATTGGTGCTTGGAAGGATAGCACTTTCTGGTTTTAGCTCACTCCAAACTGCCAGCCATGTTCGGACAGCACCTATTATGGCAACCACAGATGCACCACCACCTGGGACTATAGCCTTTGGAAAAAGAACTACAAAAAACACAGGTTAGATAAATGTATTTAAGGGCTGAATCTTTTCATTATACAAACCAAATTATATGAAGGTTTGTATGTGTCACACACAGTAAACATGAATAATTAATGCATATTTCTAAAACTTTGAGTGGACTGTGGCTGTTATTATGGTAATATACTGTTTTCTTTTTCTACTTTTCCTTACTTCCAGCACTATTAGGACAACAGTTATCTTAGAAACCGCTGATGCACTTCAGCTTTGGATTATGAGACTTTAGTGATTTATAGTGTTTGTATGGACTACTTGATTGCATTCTGACGAGATACTTTAGCTGTTTGTTTCAGGTGTGTTAAAACAGACATATCTAATAGGTGTAGGACACCAACCCAACCCATGCCTCAAATCCTTTTTCTGTCACGCTCATCCCTTCTAGGGTCGCGAAGGATGCTTGGTCTTATCTCCCAACTGTCAGTTGGCGAGAGGCGAGGTACACCCTGGACAGGTCACCAGTCTATCTCAGAGCAACACAGAGAGAAACAGGACAAACAATCATTCACACAGATACTCACACCAAAGGAGAATTTAGAGAAGCCAGTCATGTTTTTTTGACTGGACAGGGAAGAAGCTGGAGTGCCCAGATAGAACTGCTGCCTGCACAAGGAGAACCTACAAACTCCATGCAGAAAGACCTGGGCCAGGAATTGATCTCGTTGAGCTCAACACTTCAGGGCCTATTATGCCCCTGACCCCATTCTCTTGAAGTATGTTTCTTTAAGATATTCTGCACAGTACCATTTATTATTATTAATTTCAAAGGTAGCCCGAAAGGAAATGGGAGTGAGGGGGAAAAGACACTGCAAAGGTCAACAGGCTGGGACTCAAACCCATGTCATCTCTGTCTGAGACAAAGGCCCCCAGACATGGGTCACTCGCAACCCCTGTGCCACCACCATGCCCCAAATTCCAAAAGTTTGCTCCAAGACATTAAGCAAGGGGCCCTCTGGCAAACACTTTGTTGGGATGTGGTTGGATTCATCAACTTACTCTTTGCACCTAGAGACAGAAACATGTCCTTCTGATGGGTTAATCCTCTCCAATAACTTCGTCCACTTCTAGATCAGCTGCCTGTCTCCTAAAATCTCTGAAATCCTCTTGAGAATGTCTTGAAGTACAGCAAATTGTCTGGTAATGTCATACATAAATGCACCACCCTGGTGGAATTGGACTTCCTGTGCAACCTCTTGTCCAAATATAACCTCATGCTTCCAGTAGTGAGACTGACCCAAATCAAATGCAAAACTACTCAGTCCAGTCAGTAGAAAAATAATTTTTAAAAAGTCTGTCTCCTCTCTGCCTGCAAAACCTGCCATTCTTTCTTTGACTGTTTCCCCTTTAGAGTATCTGGCACAAGAAACCACTCTACTACATAAGTGAATAGGTCAATATTCCATCCATCCATCCATTTTCTTTACACGCTTGTCCCAAGTGGAGGATTTAAATTACTTGAATTTATACTGATACTATACTTTAATGTTGTTTTTGTGCCATCTATAGTCTTGTGCATGTGAAAAGGGAACTACAAATTAATAAGGTTGTTAACAAAATCAAAACTTACATAAGTGTTGCAAGAGAAAGGATGTATATACTTTAAAAAATTTATTTTTTATTTTTTATAAAGGATTATTTTGATCCAATACTCACAATAGATTTCACTCACTGTCATCTTATTACATAGTACGTATCCACTGTCAACCGGTTCCAGTTTAAGCTTTCAAAGAGGGCATCCTCTACATTAAACTATGATAGAAATTAAGTGTAGTACTTTTCAACATGCTGTCTGACTGCTATAGTATATATTCTTGACTAAATAAAATGTATGTGACTTGACCTTGCCTATGTTTGTTGACAATGTTAAAGGCACAGTGACAAATGCTTGCTGTGAGAATTTTCCAAATGTTGTCAGCCCAGAGCAGTTGCAAGGCAATTTAGCCCATCCAAGGATATGGTTTAAAAGGTGCCATTATCACATCCAATAAACAACAGCAATTATGTATAATTTCATGTCTTGTCATTGGTGTTGAAACTGAAAATATACAGACAAGGAGAGGCAGAAGGAAATGCAACTTATTGTTTGCAGATGCTGTGTAGCTTATATTGTCTTTGTTCTGAGATGCATTTAAGACAACAGACTGTCAGAAACAGACACTATTTTACTGGGATGTTTGTGTTAGTGATTAAATAGTAACTATGGAATAGTTTTGTTTTATCCACATATTTACTGGGTATTTGAAACTAGTGATTTAAGGAAGATAACTCTTTGCAGTAAATTGTAATATGTCTTTAATCGTAACAGAAAATAAAGCAATCACGCTTTACCATTGTTTGTTTTTTAATATCACTTCTCTGCTTTTTATTTTTTATTTGGCTTAGTTGAGTTCATTGCTTCAAAAAAAGAAGAACAAATAATGAAAAATATTTCCTGCACAAACAGCTTTCTTACATTATTTACTTAGTGTACAACTCCCTCTACTGGTCAAATGGGCCTAGACTTTATAAATGTAGAGCGAGGCTTCAAGTTGGTCCGTTTCTTTCCTGTTTTCAGTTTATTTTTTGTAAGTTACCAAGTTCAACACATGTGATGTGACTGATAACAGCTGATAAAGATGATTAAGATAAAAACCTGTGAAGAGTTGAGAGGGTTTTAGCAGGATTTTTTTCATTGACCATTGCCGTTCCTCACAGACCTTCATTGTAAACATAAATACCTGAAAAGACTCACCGACTTAATTAACATCTTCTATGGGATGGATTTAATAATGTAAAGGAACTCAATTATTTCAACATAGCCATCTAAATACCATTTAGTGTTCTTCATCATAATGACAGGGACATGCTTTTCATTGCAAAAAAAAGAATGATTTCTGACCTAAAATATGATACAACAATTCATATAAGCTCTAGAGAAGAAACATACTTCAACACAAACTCTGCCAGCTTTCCAGAGAATTTTTCCTCATGCAGCAGAAGAAACAATCGTCTACACAGAATCCTCTTATGCCTTAGGGACTCTTAGTAAAATAACCCATTTTGAAGAGTATTCTTATCTCCTCTTCATCTTTAGAATAGGTAGAAATCAGAGGCCACAGGAAAGCACAGCTGACCATATCCATCCACCTCAACTAATTTTTTCTGTGCTTACTAATAACATGACTTGTCAGTTAATGAGACACAAAAATAATTGCTGATAATAACTTTATACCTGCCCCTTTCCCTACTTTTAATATGCATAGCTGTCATATTGAACTTCGCAACATCTGACTTTCCTAGTAAGCACTCTGACATAGGACACTGTTTTTGTTTTTTAACAGTGCAGACAATCAGACTTTAGCGCAGTGGGGCAGTGGGTAGCACTGCTGCCTTGCAGCAAGAAGGTTGCAGGTTCCATTCTCAGCCTGGGGTCTTTTTGCATGGTGTTTGCATGTTCTCCCTGAACATGCGTGGGTCCTCTCCGGGTACCCCGGCTTCCTCCCAAAGTCCAAAAAGATGGCTGTTAGGTTAATTGGCTTCTCTAAATTCTCCTTAGGTGTGAGTGTGTGCGTGAATGGCTGTTTGTCTCTGTGTTGCCCTAAGATGGCCTGGCAACCTTTCCAGGGTGTACCCTGCCTGTAGACAGCTGGAGATAGGCACTGGCACCCGTCGTGACCATTTGGGATAAAGCATGTTAGAAGATGGAGAATGCACCATCAATATGTTTTTTTTTTCTAACTTAAATATTACTTGTTTGTAATCCATGTTCTTTATTTTAGCATACCTACCAGTAATTGTTTCTAATTAGTCACATCCAGCTGGATGGTCCATATTTTACCCTGCTAAAAGTTTCTATACAGTAATTTTTAGATTAAATGGATGTGAACCACTGTCTAATAAAAATGACTAATAAAATTGTGACTTATGGATAAGAACCGCAACAACCAGCATTAAAGCACCTGTATACATTCACAGATTTTTGAAAGTATATTTATTCCCTTTGTCAAAGATAAGCCAAAGGACACAGTGTTCTCCCTGTTGTTGCGGAACACAATTAAAGTTCACAAAACAAACATGTTTTTGGTCCCTTTTCAGGATGTCAATTGAAACCCTTTGGTTTCCAATCCCTTGGCTCCCAATTAACTTATCACTGTGCTGCAAGGGACTTCCTGAAGCCTTGCATACTGGCCTGCAGCCTATCATCATCTCTTTTTATTTTATTTTATTATTTATAGTAATGCAATAATACTTTTGTGAATTGATGAATGTTTTGTCCACTGTTAAATAATTGGCCTCTGGATGATAAGAAAGTCCCATCTAATCTGGGACAGACAACAACCTGTTCCCATAGTCATGTCCCAACAGATGAGTTCCCCAGACAGCAGGGTTACAGAGCGGAGGAAGCCAGCAGGACTCCAGCTTTACACTCACCTGTAGCGCAGGAAGTATTTACATCTGCATCGCTTATTGTCTTCTGCTGTTGAATATATGGACTTTTAATATCTGTATCTTTGAAGCAATAGAGTCGCTTTTTGTTATTTTGAGAAAGTGAAGTTTTCCTGTCTGGCCGTTCAAAGCGCTGGCTGGATACCTGCGCGCTGCGTTTGGCACGGATGGATCAGCTCTGATGACGTTATGATGGCACGAGCCATGCGATTCATAGCCGGAATAACCTCGTTATGACTTTATCCTAACGAGTATCTCTCAGTCGCTCTTTTGTCAGTTTTTTCTTCTTTTTTATTTATCTTCCAGCACAGAGATGGGTACAGAGAAGCCAAACTTTCTCTCGCAGCCTGTGGTGAAAAACATCTTTATGTTCCGGAACGGAGACCCTTACTATGAGGCCAGACGGATAGTGATCAACGAGAAGAGAGTGGGCAACTTTGAGACGCTGTTGCGAGAGGTGACGGGTGGGATACAGGCTCCGTTCGGGGCGGTGAGGAACATCTACACCCCGAGAGGGGGCCACAAGGTGGAGGGCCTTGACAGCCTGCAGAACGGGGAGCAGTACGTGGCTGCAGGGAAAGAGAAATTCAAAAAGATCGAGTAAGAATGAACCTTTCTCAGTTTTACCCAACAAAATTATTGATTTTATGCATAGTAAGTAACCTGGGGCAACCTGTCCACAATAGTTTAAATGACCAGTCTACATTTAAACATAAGCACTTTAGAGCTTCGCTTATAATTGCTGGGGTTCACAGTCATTCACTCAGACCTGCTGACTGTAGAAAGTGACTCAACAGTGTAGCTGAGTGCTGAGTCACTGCTTGGTAAGCTGAGTCATGAATAGAAGCATTGACCTAAAATATAAGTCGACTTATGTATAAGACTATTGGATCTGCACATTCATGTATTTATATAACTTAATATCAATATGAAGGACTAACTCTGCCATATTTAAAAATAAATACAGAAATAAATAAATGCTCAATAAATGTATAAGCATACAATTAATTGCCAACAAAAAAGTGAGACATAAATGTATATAACTCTTAATTAGCTTCTTTATTTATTTGCCTTTGTAATATTTACCTTATTTATTTTTCTGTCCTTTATAATCTTCAACTTTATTTTTTAATTACTTATATTTTTAAGTATTTATTTATGTGCATGTTATAATATTTTTGTCTGTTTTATTCTTCTTTTGTATTTTTTTACCTTAGTTATTTCTTCGCCGCTGATCATTTGAGGCGAGAACCTTATACATTTAAGCATCACCATATGGCCCATTCACAGATTTAATGCGTAATTTAAAAGAAAATGTGACGAACTTGAGAGGACAACCGGGGCAACCAGCGGAGCTCCGAAGCTGACGGCAGCCAGGTCTATAGCCAGGCTATGATGGCGATTTTTTGTTGTATTTGGCAAAGTTTGGCAAAGTCCCTACTCAAGTTCTAATGACTTCAGACTCGACATCAGACTCTCCTCCTGTAGATTCGACCGATGTAGTAAAATGCTAACCAACACGCTTCACACACGGCTATGCAGAGAGAGGGCCGCTGCAGATGGGCTGTGGTTAGACCTGGCTGCCGTCAGCTTCGGAGCTTTGCTGGTTGCCACGGTCCTCTCAAGTTTGTCAAAAAAATTTTTAAATTACGCTTTAAATCTGTGAATGGGCCATATGGTGATGCTTAAATGTATAAGGTTCTCGCCTCAAATGATCTTAAAATGTACTTTTATTGAACAACAGCAACAGAAAAGAGAACATTTAACTTAGTACTCTGAGCTCTGAGAGTTAAGAAGATGGACCGCCATGCCAACCAATGAGCAGAAGCTGACTCTCTAGGACACACCCCCTCCTCATTTGCATAATGAGACAGAAATGCATAGAGAAATGTAAAAAGGGCAGACAGAAATGTTAAAATGGCAGAGAGAAATGTAAAAATGGCAGAGAGAAATGTAAAAAGGGCAGAGAGAAATAAACAGCGGCGAAGAAATAACTAAGGTAAAAAAATACAAAGGAAGAATAAAACAGACAAAAATATTATAACATGCACATAAATAAATACTTAAAAATATAAGTAATTAAAAAATAAAGTTGAAGATTATAAAGGACAGAAAAATAAATAAGGTAAATATTACAAAGGCAAATAAATAAAGAAGCTAATTAACAGTTATATACATTTATGTCTCACTTTTTTGTTGGCAATTAATTGTATGCTTATACATTTATTGAGCATTTATTTATTTCTGTATTTATTTTTAAATATGGCAGAGTTGGTCCTTCATATATCAAAGTATCACTTTTCATTGCAATTTTCACATGCATTTCTTATATCATCATGTTTTATTTTCTAAATAAACAAAAACGAATGTACATGTAGAAATCAAAAGAGACAACAACCCTGTTTGTTATTTGCTTTTTGGAATTAGGGTCTGAATATCAGGCTTCAAGCCATCATCAACACATTATATTTAATAAAATCCTATACACATATTTGAATTGCAACTGTGTTTGCACAAAGTTCTGCATTGCTGATAGATTTTTTTAATATTAGTATTTTTTATGGTGATTTCAAAATATTAATATATTTCACCACATAAATATTTCTTATTATGTAGTGTAATAGTGACAGCTGTTAGAACGGTTGCAATATTAAAGAGGGTATTAGGTCTGATTCCAAGGGCATTTTAGGATGGATTTTTTATGCATGCATGCATGTATATATTTATGTTATTTTGATATATTTATTTATTTATTTTTCATATTCAAAAATACTTTATTAATCCCAAAAGAGAAATAAAGTAAATAAATTCAGGCAGGAAAATTATATATCTTTATACATTTGGGCAGAGGCTAAAATGTTTTATAGCTTTGTAATCTATATTTTGATAAACTGAATGGTTGTAAAATCAGTTAAAACCCCTTAACCAGAGAAACCTGGTAGAAATATTATTTCAAATCATTGGAAGCATATAGCTACTGTATATTCTCATTTGACTGATTTCTTTACTACAGTAAAATGTGCCAGCTACAACATATGACCATATAGGCTTACATATTTACATATTTTCTCTGCAACAGACTGTTCATGCACACATTGCTACTTTTTTTTTTTTTATCAAAGGCAACTAATAGCGTGAAATTAAGAATGATTATTGTCATTATGAAGCCGATATGCTATAAAAAGTTGAATCTTCAGTGGTAGAGAACACAAACTGAACGTTTGCATACACATATAAGCTTGTATACGTCTTTAAATCGTAACATTGAGAAACAGGTCAATAAATATAAGGGGTCTAAACTGGATTACTTTCCTTGCTACATTTTATAATCTGAATGTAACTCTTCTTTAAATTATACAAAATGTCAAACTGAAGAGCTTGCTCTTTAAAGTAATCTCCACTTGGATTAAGAAAAAGAAATCACAGGATCATCTGTTTAAGTGAGCTAATAACATATGAAGAGTTCATTTGCAAAAACGGGTGAACGCCATTTTTGAAAAAAGAATGAGATGAGGTATGTAATTTACTTTTTGCATGGCGCTGCTAATTAAAAGTATCGTTTTTTTTAAAATATATATGAATGTTATCTGCTTTTACAAATGATATATCTTCATATCTTACGGCATATATTTCTTTTTATTATCTAGTATTATCTATCTATCTATCTATCTATCTATCTATCTATCTATCTATCTATCTATCTATCTATCTATCTATCTATCTATCTATCTATCTATCTATCTATCTATCTATCTATCTATCTATCTATCTATCTATCTATCTATCTATCTATCTATCTATCTATCTATATACACTATATTGCCAAAAGTATTTGCTCACCCATCCAAATTATTGGAATCAGGTGTTCCAATCACTTCCATGGCCACAGGTGTATAAATTCAAGCACCTAGGCATGCAGACTGTTTTTACAAACATTTGTGAAAGAATGGGTCGCTCTCAGGAGCTCAGTGAATTCCAGCGTGGAACTGTGATAGGATGCCACCTGTGCAACAAATCCAGTCGTGAAATTTCCTCGCTCCTAAATATTCCACAGTCAACTGTCAGCTGTATTATAAGAAAATGGAAGTGTTTGGGAACGACAGCAACTCAGCCACGAAGAGGTAGGCCACGTAAACTGACGGAGCGGGGTCAGCGGATGCTGACGCGCATAGTGCGAAGAGGTCGCCAACTTTCTGCAGAGTCAATCACTACAGACCTCCAAACTTCATGTGGCCTTCAGATTAGCTCAAGAACAGTGCGCAGAGAGCTTCATGGAATGGGTTTCCATGGTCGAGCAGCTGCATCCAAGCCATACATCACCAAGTGCAATGCAAAGCGTCGGATGCGGTGGTGTAAAGCACGCCGCCACTGGACTCTAGAGCAGTGGAGACGCGTTCTCTGGAGTGACGAATCGCGCTTCTCCATCTGGCAATCTGATGGACGGGTCTGGGTTTGGCGGTTGCCAGGAGAACGGTACTTGTCTGACTGCATTGTGCCAAGTGTAAAGTTTGGTGGAGGGGGGATTATGGTGTGAGGTTGTTTTTCAGGAGCTGGGCTTGGCCCCTTAGTTCCAGTGAAAGGAACTCTGAATGCTTCAGCATACCAAGACATTTTGGACAATTCCATGCTCCCAACTTTGTGGGAACAGTTTGGAGCTGGCCCCTTCCTCTTCCAACATGACTGTGCACCAGTGCACAAAGCAAGGTCCATAAAGACATGGATGACAGAGTCTGGTGTGGATGAACTTGACTGGCCTGCACAGAGTCCTGACCTCAACCCGATAGAACACCTTTGGGATGAATTAGAGCGGAGACTGAGAGCCAGGCCTTCTCGTCCAACATCAGTGTGCGACCTCACAAATGCGCTTCTGGAAGAATGGTCAAAAATTCCCATAAACACACTCCTAAACCTTGTGGACAGCCTTCCCAGAAGAGTTGAAGCTGTTCTAGCTGCAAAGGGTGGACCGACGTCATATTGAACCCTATGGATTAGGAACGGGATGTCACTTAAGCTCATATGTGAGTCAAGGCAGGTGAGCAAATACTTTTGGCAATATAGTGTATATATATATATATATATATATATATATATATATATATATATATATATATATATATATATATATATATATATATATATATATATATATTCATATAGTACCAACAAAAATAGTTGTAATGGATGCAAAAATAGTCAAGCAACTCTAAATTTTATTACCACCTATGTAGTGATGTTGTTTTTGTACCAAATACATACAAATATAACATGAAAAGTATTTGTATAAATGTTCTAGGTATATATAGGTATATATCTAAAAGTTACTTTTTTATTGGCACCTCTAACGCAATACTGCAGGGCAATGATTGACTCATCTGTTCTTGCCTTTTGTGCTGTCTTCCCAGTTATCTAGATATTGGCACCAGAAAGAAGAGGATGATGCAGACTCTGCCTGCACAGGTAAGACAGAAGTGTTTCTAGTGCTTTGTTATTAGTAAATAGAGAGAATTTAATCAGAGTATTGCAACTCTAGTGCAGTAAGAACCCCCTCATCCATCAATTGAAAATGTTTCCATGGGAATTTTGTATTTGAACACATTGCAGAGACAGCTTCTTCAAACAAATGTGCATCTGTGTTTTTGTTTACCCTAATGTAGGTGTGAGACACCAATCATTTTCTCATGTTTCAAGCAGGAAGTAAACAGATCTGGTCATTTGACTCTAAAAATGAGACGTTATCAACTGATCTTGTTTTGTATATTCAGTGCTAGAGGTGCATATCTAGATCATTCAAAAAGAAAAAGCGTAACCATTTCTGCAGCAATAAATTCCCTTTCTATTCTTTGTTTTAAATATATGATTCAATATAATATAGATAAACTTTTAGGCATTTGATGAAGTCTTTTAAGTCAAAGTGTGATGTTAAGAATTCCCCCCCTCCTGTTCATGAAAAAAATACTGTGTTGTTGTCTCAGTGGCCATGCATTATTGATTTATGTATCATAATCATCCCTTCTTTTAATGCATCTTTAATCACCAGCTATAAAGTCACAGCCAAAGCTGGAGCAGCTAAAAGTCAAGTTGTGCTCAGGTTCATGTGCTTTAAAGTTCAACTGCTGACCTTCTACCCAAACAACAGGGAACTTGAGAAAGTTTCTGTTTCGTTTGATTGGTATGGCCTAACAGTTCCATTAAAAACAATATGTTATTCCACCTTCATTATCATTTCAGTAACTGTATTTGGAAAACTGTGTTTTTCTGTGTGGCAAATTATTTACTAGTAGATATAGTATACTATTAGAAAATCAGCAGACTGAAAAGTCATAACAAATGCGTGGCTGATTGTGTGTAAGTATTAGAGATTTCCCTTGGTTGGTAAATTGGCTCATAATAAATGGGTCCATATTTCTTATACCTATTTTTTTGTTGACTTTAGTTCTCTCTCTGACGAATTTCAATAAAGTTTTTTCTAATATTCTACTCTAAAATAAACCTAAAAAGTATCCATGATTCATGCCAATATCCTGTTGGGTCAATAATGTTATTGATCAACACTCAAAACTGATATCTGTTGGAGAGGAAACTGTTATACTGGGACATCCTTAGCAAGTATATTTTTCATTGAAAGTAGCATGTCCAAAAAATTTGCAGGCTCCTGTTCAATCCGTGAAGTCATCCAGTCTATGACAGAAATTCGAGGCCCTGTATTAAAGATTAAAGTTGCATTGCATTCCTCTTTTAAAATCTTGAGTAGATCGGGTTGATTCAGACATTGTTTTAGAGGTGGCAAATTTCCATTAAATATTTATTGAAGAGGGAGAAACATAAAAAGGATTGCAGATAATAATATGCTTCTATTAAAAGTGATTTAATTTAGAGAGAATAAAAGCCAAAACCAAGAGGCCAAAAAACTACAATTACAATAAATAGAAAAGTTACCAATAATGGCAAACTCAACCAATGATCTGTTCCAAGGTGATCAAGGAAGGTCTAGAATTAACAGTCAAAAGGTAACAAACTGAAGGCGAGCTGCTGGCAAAATAAATATAAAAAGATCTTGTAATCTCCCGTAGATAAACCAATGTGGTTCTGAGGTAAAAGAGAAAACAATCTCCTTTCAGGCTGTAGTTCTGATAAACATGTAGCCAGTTCTATCTTTATAATATGGGGTTCTGTTAGTGCCAAAAATATGTTTATGTGTCTTCTGGTGTGTCCATGTGTCTTCTGGTGTGTCCATGTGTCTATGTAAGGTGTGCATGTATCGTGCCTATGTAATGGAAGTTGTATATGTAGTGGTTTAAAGTCTATATGTCAGATTCATATGTTGTGTCTATATGAGTGATAACGTGCATTGCATTATTCTTCACTTTATGTTGTTTGACCATGTTGTTGAACCTGTCAGCATGTGATCTCGTTTTGCTGTTGTTTCCTTTGCTGTTACAGCCTGTCGTTCTCCCCTGTCGTCTCCCTCTGCTGTTATACCTGTCGTTGTCCCGTCATCTCCCTCTGCTGGTACAACCTGGCGTTACAACCTGTTGTCTCCTCTGTTGTTAAAACCTGTCGTTCTCCTCTGTCTTCTCCTCTGCTGTTATACCTGTTGTCTCCTCTGTTGTTAAAACCTGTCGTCTCCTCTGCTGTTACAGCCTTTCCATGGTAATGCTCATTGAAGCTCAATTTTACAGCAGAGGCGTTTGTGTCATTGACTCTTATTTTGAAATCTCTGTTAAACCGGAAGTGTGTACGTTATTTTATCATGACCGCATTGGTCGGTAAGTGAAGAACTAAGGCGTTTACCAGAGCTAATATGTGTGAACAGTCAGATTTGAAGGGAGTTATTACTGTTGTGACATTAAAGATTAAAACAATATGAATAAAATAGCCAACCACTCACAAATGGAACCAGGTAACGGCACAAGACAGCAGCAGCAACCCACCATTGTAAAAGCAGTGCAACGCCCCGTTAACGGGGACAATCACAAGTATAACGGAGACAAGTTGTAACGACACAGCAGACGACAGAGGTGACTACAGGTTGTAACGATACAGAAGACGACAGAGGTGACGACAGGTTGTAACGACACAGAAGACGACAGAGGTGACGACAGGTTGTAACAACACAGAAGACGACAGGGGACAACGACAGGTTGTAACGCCAGGTTGTACCAGCAGAGGGAGATGACGGGACAACGACAGGTATAACAGCAGAGGGAGATGACAGGGGAGAACGACAGGCTGTAACAGCAAAGGAAACGACAGCAAAACGAGATCACATGCTGACGGGCTCAACAACATGGTCAAACAACATAAAGTGAAGGATAATGCAATACACGTTATCCCTCATGTAGACATAATGCATATGCTCACAGCATATAGACACAACATATGAATCTGACATATAGACTTTAAACCACTACATATACAACTTCCATTACATAAGCACGATACATGCACACCTTACATAGACACATGGACACACCAGAAGACACATGGACACACCAGAAGACACATGGTAACACCAGAAGACACATAAACATATTTTTGGCACTAACGGAACCCCATATTATAAAACTCTTCATGCTTACTACATTCCCTATGATTAAGGAACATGAGGGTAACAACTCAGAGCATTTACCTGAGCAGTTTGTAAATGGAGTGGGTACATGCCACAATCATCATGTAGGCCTTTTAAATACTGTCAGCATGGTTTATTTGCACATCCACAAAAATCATTTGATTCTACAGAGCAACATATACTGTATTATCACATCAGACGTAATCTCGAAAATCATGTGGTTTGTCTACTCTCCCTGTGCACTTTTCCTGCTATTTTTGTTCTTCTCTTTGCCTTTTAATGTGTCACTATTTTCCTGTGTCGTATGCTCTGTATCCTCCTTCCAGTTCAGAGTTGCTATGGCTTTGGGCCTAACTTAGAGAAGTACTCCCCTCATATTATTGGTTGAGTGTCTTCAACCCCTATTCCACTTCGGGTCCTTGCAATGTTCTAGGAGCAGTAAAGATCTCAGAACAAAAGAACGACCCTGACATTGTTACGGTATTTGTTTGTTAACTAGCCAACATAGAAATACTGTAAAACATTGTATTGACTAAAGAATTAAAGAATCATTGCCACACATAGGCCTCCAGACCCACACAGAGTCTGAGCCTATTTGTGACTCTCTGAGAAAATTTGTCATGCACCATTAAAAAATGTTTAATTTTGTGCCAGGCATGGTGGCTTTTGCTCATGACCTGAATATTATTCCCTTGAAATGGGTGTTAGATCACAACGCTCTATACAGCAGTACCCAAGCAACATTTTGCTTCCAGACTAACTAGTGAATTCATTGGAGGGTCACATCAACCGGTTGTTTTCCAATTATCCTTAGGTGGAATACCTGTTTACATGAAACAGTAAATACACACCTAAATTTTAGTTTATTAGTTTACATAAAAGCTAATTTTATCAGGTTTCACAGCAAATAACTAAGTTTGTAATGAAAAAATTTATATTTTACAATATTTAATTTTCCATATTTTCTGTTGGCTGATGCTGAGCTTGGTTACACATGTACAGAAATATGATTGCACTTTGATATCTCTGATTATCTGAGTTTTGAAATGATTATGTAAACTGCAAAATCTGATTCGAGGATATTGGAGAACAGACTTCGATTTGTCCAAATGCAATTAGCTTGTGCATTTAAAACATTGTTCTATGTAAGTTTGTAAATAGAAAGAAACAGCTAGCTGGAGTATGGTTTTCTAAAGACAAGCTGCCTCCTTGTGCCAGGCTTGGTTGAATCCCCTGCTTCTTTGTAGCAAAAATGAGAAAAAAATCTAGAGGTATAGTTTCATGAATATTCTCCAACACATCTTGAAGCATAACAGAACAGACTGGAACATACAGTCAAAGATTATATAAATATCATTAAGATCTGTTGTAGCGGTTAGCAGATTTCCCCAGTTATCATTTCTTATGTACATGTAAACACACACAAGCTGTATATATAATTTGAATTAGATACATTTCTCTTAATATTTTAATTTGCTGTAGCATCATTGATCCCAGAGCATTTGTCTCTAAAGATAAATGATTAAACTGATTTTTAGCTTTTCCACTGTTTTGAACATGACTTAAACACACTTATACATTGATAAAAATGTATACAGCTATGTATAGATCAAAATAATGAGGTGTATGCTAATTTAAATCAGAACTAATTCTGAGATCATAGCATTTAATCAGCGTACTTTGAAAAGAAGTTCAATAAATACCGAATGAATAAGCATGTAAATAAAAATAGTTCAACATTTCTAGGTATCATGAAAGCTAAGAAAACTAAAAAAACAGCTGATACAAAAAGCAGTTTATGATGGACAGTTTTCATTTCCATAATTGGTTAGAATGTGGCATAGTAAACTAGCCCCACCCACCAGCGGCCAAAATCATTTTGGCCTGTAAGTGCGAGTTAAATTACACATTTAATCTCACATTTAGTCTGGTTTATCAGGCTAGTTAAAATGTAGACTCCCATTAAACAGAGTTCTCAGATAGCAATCAAATCTGGTCAAAGCAACTCCAAACAAAACTAGTTAGTTTACGTTAGTATGTACTTTGTGTACTTTTAGGATTTTTTTGTGTGTAGTCTCTTTGTTCCTGGCTAGTCCCTGAATGAGTCATCCCTGTGTCTTTAGTACTTTTTTTTTTTTTTTTTTTTTTTTTTTACGGAAAATTGTTTGTTTTTTATTTTATTTGCATGTTTTCTGAAAAAAAAAATTCTGGTCTTTACTATGACTTTTCTTTTCTTCTAAAGCCTATCTGTTTTAATTTTCTGCTTCTGGGCCTTAACTCGGTTACCATGTTCCATTCCCAGAACAGCAGGATCCCCATCTAATACCCATCGTTGGTTACAGGTGTTAAGGGACAGGACTAGCTGTATTCACCCTTTGCATTGTCAGAGAACCACAAGGGGGCTACTCTTTTGGCGCTCTATTAATCACTGGAAGATGCTTTTTTGCTCTTTTTTTTTTATTTCTAAAGTTAACATTTTTTCTGGCCCTTTTAGAATTAGTTTACTATAATTTTACCTTTTGACAATTGTCTTAAAATAATTGCAATATACCACCTTGATCACAAACTATTCCTAGGCGTTGCTTCATGCTCCTACAGTTTGAAACAAACTGTACATGAGAGTAAAGCCACTAGACAATACTATGCTTATTTAGCTCTTTTATTATATGGAAATTAGCCTAAGCCTCTGGCTCTTTTTTAAATCTCAAATGAGTGTACTGTATAGCTCAAGTGGGAATTAGAATGCTTTAATGATGCAGCAATGTTGCATAATACCATAAAAAAACCTATATTTCAAGTATTAATGTTTAGCATGCCAGTTTTTCTATCTGTAGCTGCAGACTTTATATTATAACATGGTAATATTGTTTCTATTTTCAGGCCAGACCACACAATCGAATAATCGTGTCAGCACGATTTCTAAAACCAATCAAAGAGCCTTGTACAATATTGTAAGTAGAGTGCTACTGCACACAGTTCAAATCCACATATTGAATTTTTTTTTATCCACAACTGGGGATTACTGACAAATGTATTCTTGCCATAGATTGATAAGCAAAGATGTCTCTAATACATTGTTGTTATTTATTTTGGATAGTGTGGTAGCAAATGGTGACGTGTTGAATCCTGCAATGAGACTGCTGATCCACCAGAGAATAATGGGACAGTTCGACAGAATACTAGAAATGATCACAGAGAAGATGGGCTTGAGAGTCCTGGGAGGTGTGCGAAGGTAATGACAGGTTACACAAATAGACCTCCCCTCTCTACGCATTGTCTTGTATATCAAAGCGTTATACATGGATCTTTTATAGATATTTTTGTCTTTGAGATCTTTATACATACAGATGTACCTGATGAACTTAGAAACATCCTTTTACTCATTCAGTTTTCACAGCAAACCTTTAGTAGGAATGGAAACATTTAAAAACGATGCAGTAACTTTTACCATTTTTCAGACCTTAAGGGTTTTTTCCTCATTTTTTCACCCTAGTCTGTACACTTATGAAGGCCAGCAGGTGACTGATGGGAATAAGCTGGAGTGTGGGCAGCTTTATGTGGCTGTGGGCAGAGAGAGATTTAAGAAGCTTCCATACAGTGACCTTCTCTTCTCTAGGCCCAAAGGAACAAGAAGGATCAGAGGGTAAGCTCAGTGCTGCAAGAAGTCCATGGAAATAACTTGATGAGAAGTTCACACAGAGTAGTCTCACTTACACAACTCACATCAGTTTTTCTCCAAATCGCATTGGTTTAAACGTATTCTTTGAACACAGTTTTGTGTCTTTACATAAGGTTTTTAATTTCTTCATAAATGCACCTAGGCTGTAAATAGCAGCAATCGTTTTTATTACACATATTTTTAATGCTGTGTATACATGGAGAATTAATTGTCAAAATGGCATAATTTTTCTTTTTTGACATGCTATCTAAATTATAATTGTACATTTTGTGTGTATCCAGTTGCAGAACGGATCAATTTACCTCTGAACACTACTCTTTATTGCAGTTTCAAAAACCTTTTGGTTTTCATTTTCAACGTATTAAAACGTATGTAGATAAATTATAATGGATTATTCATGTGATTTATAGATAAATATATTTATATTTTTTTTTTACAGAATGAAGGCCCAATGTCTACCACCCATCTATCGATTTTCAAAACAGAATGGAAATGTAAGAACTCATAAATTCTTTTGCATCATTAAATTGCATGTTTTACAAGGTCATATTTGAGAGATTTTTTTTAATTAAAAAACAAAACAAAACACAAAACAATAAAAACCCCAAAACAGTTCATGCCCCTATAGTCTGTAGATGCATTGTAACAACATGCATTATATCTTCATTTGTATGCTCATTCTCTGTAGGACTCTATCTTGAGTCTTGAGTTTTTCCAGTTTTTTAATCAGTTGTATTTTCTTGTGCCTCAGAATAAGTCCACTGGTCGTTCTAGTGACAATGGGGATGCAGATTCCAAAGCCTCCACCTCAAACCCCTGCGGCAATAGCAGAGAACATCTGGCCTCTGCTGTAAGAGAGATCTCCCAGGCCAGGCTCCTCACCCTCAGGAAGAAGAAGAGTGGACAAAGCATCAGTGCCGGCTCGCCTGATAGTGGTAACAGACATCCACTACAAAAAATTATACACTGATCTAAATAGATACAGTATTTCATTGATTAATACTTGCTAATCTACGGGTGGTCTTCTGGCTACCATGATGGTTTTGAAGTGGAAAGAGCATCAACTTAGTCTGACACAGTTGTATTACTAATATATAAGAAAACAGTCAAACAATTGTACGGAAAATAGTGGTGGTGTGTTAACAGGAATATTTCTTTGGATTGATGCTCCAAATGCTTTAAAGTACTTAATGAAAATATTTTTGTATAAATAAAAGGCATTAATTATGTATTTTTGTTATGGATTTCATATAATAATAGTAAATGAATGCAATCAAGGCTGCAGAGGTAAGAAACAATGAAGACAGTATGATGTAATGTGGTGCCTTTTAATCTTATGTAACCTGCAGTATGCTTGGATGTCCACTAAGTGGCACTGATGTTCTGCAAAACAGAAAAGACATTGAAACAGTGAAAGTGAAGATGGCATGATGACTTTGACCATTACTAAAAGAAACGCATTACATCATCCCCTAGCCTCATGAGCAACAATCTGTAAAGTTCTCAACAACTGTAAGAGAAAAGAAACAAAACAAATATTTTTGTTTTAAACTTTGCTCTTGGTGAATTTTAAATATAAGAATCTTTAATAACATCTAGGCAGCTACTGTCACGTGCTAAAATATGATGCATCACAGGTTTTTTGCTTGTTTGTTTTTGTTTTGCCCAATGTAGGCAGCCTGTTGAAATACCCACTGGTTGAAACACATTACATCGTTTTGTTTTAACTGGGATATTTCTCTCCCTCGCTCTCTCTCTCTTTTGTTGTGTCAGTTGACAGCAGAACTGCAGAGGAGTGTGTTGAATGTGTGTTTGTGGTTCAAGGGAGTTGGCATTTCGAATCAAGAGAGGACACAGAAACAGTCTGCATTCACATAAATGCTTTCTATTCCCTCAAAAAAATATCACCTTGAAAAACCTCTGTCTTCCTTTGTGCACATTGGTATGTGGTTACAGTCACATTGGATGATACGGAACAAAACATTTATCCAAAAAAAAAAAAGGGACAGCTCAGGAAAAAGATCAGAGCAGATGTTTGACTCATTTGAAAGAATTTTGCTTTTTCTCTTACAAACACACACACTCATTCACCTCTATCTGACCTTTTATTTCTCTGACAAATTGGGTCATGTTAACAAAATGCAATGCTTTGCCTGTATTTGTTTAGTTTTGCTGCATTAGTAATTGTCTTTATGTTTATTTTTGTCTTCATAGAGATGGTAATTTTTTTTATTTAAAACTGTCCGCTTAGATTTTTTTTTTTTTTACTGTAAGAATAAATACATCTTTCAGTGTTTAGGCAGTTTTTATCAATTGTTCATGTCATTCTAATATTAGTTTAACAGTTTAACAGCTGCAGAGAGTAAGATTAATACCCTGACTGCGTTTGAGGTAAAAACATTTGACCATGTAAAAAAACGTGGCACATCATTTGAAAAGAAGTGATCACATAAAATCATTATAGATGCATCACTGTTCTGATGTGACATTATGTCCATGTGTTTAGGTGGATGTTTGTACCCTTCTCGTTACTCAGTGTCTATTAGCGGCTGGAAAGTGAACTGTAGCTCCAGCAGTCTTGCTGTGTTATAAAGGCTGTGAATGTTTCTACTCCCTTAGAATAATCACACTAGATAGTGACAGCAAGGACAAGGGGGTGATGAGATGGTGCAAAAACACAAGTGGTGAAGGTTGTGGAATGACTAAGGAAGATGTCTGGCTTAAGAGCCTTAACAAGCACAATGTGTGTATCAGCACAGGTGTAAAAACCTTTCAGCATGAGGCTATTTATTGCTCCAACCTGGACTGTATTTGTCTTTTTGTTCTTACAAAACACATTCATGCTCAACATGGACAGAAGCAATTAGTGGTTGTTTCTGACCTCAAAATAGAAATAGGATTGTTTATCAGTGTTCTCTTCCATAAGAGCCCCTGTGACCAATTCAGTTAATGGCTCCCTTGAGATGGGAGAAGTAAGAGGATGAAGAGTGAGAAGGGAGAGATGAAAAGAAAAAGAAAAAGGATGTATCTGAAAAGGTGAAGAGGGGAAGATAAAAGGGAGGGTTGAAGCAGAGGGACTAATAGGATGAGATTATAGAAGCAGAAAGGCATTATGAGGCAGAAAGGAAAAAGAGGAACATGGATGGAATCAAATAGCAAATATGATGAATAGCCTTAGCTCATAGAGTGAACATTGAGTTGGGAAAAAAAGGCATAAAGAGATATTGAAGGTTGAGGTGATGGGTGGGGCTTTGGTAATTGCCTTTCATTTGGATAATCTCTCCATTTAGAGTCATCAAAGAGATTTTACTTGTGTGCCCCTTGCTGTGGCCAAATTGCTGTTCTGAGAATCAACAAGTGTGTTAGGCTTCAAACAGGTCAAACAGGTCTGCAAGGAGGGATTGAAAGTACAAAAGAAAAAGAAAAAATAGAAATGCCCTGTTATGTTGCTTCTTTTTTTTTTTTTTTTTTAGCTATGCTTCATGCATGCAATCGCTAATCAAAACCAAAGTTGGACAATTGCATGTTCCACTCTGTGTTTTCTGTTTTATACTTCAAGCCCAGAAGTAGCATTTTCTAAAGAATTTGTAATAAGTTCAGAGCTAAATATTTTAATGATAATTTTTTGCTTTTTAATAAAGTTAATCAACTATCAATCACAGTATCTGTTGAACACTTTAGTCATATAGAGATGAACCATTCCAATATTAATTTCAATGTCGGTCCTTATATTAAAGAACGTTCTAGAACATGTACACCTGTTGCTGAAAATTGGTCTGATCCATAATGGCAGATATATTCTATCTATTTCTATAATAATTTAATATAGTATTATATAAAAATTATTTGAGGAGTAATGTTTCCCCTTATGGGATTTTTCTTTGACTTGATTAGTACAGTCAATTTGACCCCCCCACATTTACATATTTGTTATCAGGATGTAATTTGTCCTGCTTACACCAATAATTGTTTTTATATCTTCCTTTCTGACCTATACTAACCTCAAGTTGTCTTTTAGAATATAGATGTGATTATTTATTCATATCTCTTGCATATCTTGTAACATATCTTGTTGATAAATGTGGAAACATTTATCACAGTCTCTTTAAAAGAACAACAGTAATGATGATACTGTTAAAGCAAACAGAGCTCTGCTATAAAAAACTATTTGCTTAACTAAGTATTTTTTTTGTTGAATATAAGAGATTTTGCAGATATATTTTTATACATACATTGTTTAGATTTACTCATATCTTTATACCCTTTTTATAGAATAGAATAAAATAGAATAGAAATTCCCTTTATTGTCCCACAATGAGCAAATTCTTGCGTTTACAGCAACAAAAAGATTATAGAAAAAAATGGTCACACAAACGTGGACCTTTGAAAAATGTATAACAATAACATAATAGGGAAGAGTTAGATAAACAATAAAATACTGAACAGTAAAATGTTTTAACAATATAAAAAACTGTACACCTGGAGAATAAATAACCTATATACAGCTATGGACATTTTTTTAAGTAATAGATAATTGAAAATAGCAGCAACTTCAGAGAGGTCCAAAATGACAGCATCATACATTAGCTTTTATTTCTTCATGCTCCTGGTGGTTGTCATCTTTGTTCACTTAACAGTAAAAAAAAAGGAAAAAAATTAAACAGAAACAGTTTTGAAAAGTTCGGTATTTATTCTTTTCCTGCTTTGTGTGTCATCTATCACGGTTTCTAAGCGAGAGTGCGTACGGCGGTGAAAGCAGCGGAAGGTTAGACCTGTTAAAATTCACAGCCAAAACTCTTCCGGTCTCCCTGTTTTCACGGACTTCGTAAGACCCAGTCCAGGTAGACCGTATTCTTGGAAGAAGCAGCCCATAAATTCGTAAGCACATAGTCTTTTTTTCTTCAAGTGTTAGCCAAACAGGGTGGATCTTGTTCTGACTGATAAATCGTTGGGCACATAAATAACCACAGACAACCACAGTTAAAAGATGTGTACCTTTATTAGCTAATTACAATATTAGTATATTTAATTACCATGCAAACTATATACAAACTCAAGTCCTTTAAAATAGCAGCAGATAAATGTGAAGAACAAATTATGCAGAGATCTTAATCGCAATCAAATGGTGTAGCTTCATTCGCTTTACATTGAATAATGAACAAAGACTGAGAAATTTATCGAAATATAGCTGGATAGCATTGGAGCAAAAATGGGTTAGCTCAGATGACACCAGCAGACCCTGCTGGAGGCGGGGCCTGCTAGAACAATGGGTCGTAAACTCAGCCTAGTCTATCTTACAATGCTAGTCATTTAAACTTATCACTTTATCTCTCAGGAGAAAATGGGGAAAGAGAAAACCAATGCATGGCATTCTCATCCATTCACATGTTCATTCAGACATAGACTTCATAAGGTTAGCATTCAGTTCACAACCCCTCAATATAAAACCATCAACTTTCAAGATTAAGGTGTTTCTTTCAGATAAAACAGATGCAAACATATTTTGCCTCTCGCCCAAGCAGAGTGATCACTAACAGTAAAAGTATTAGTGTTTATTATTATTTATGTCTAGTGTTTAATACAAAGTATTAATGTTTATAGCTCAAGTAGAAGTATAAATCCTGCAGTTAAAAAACACTTTCGTAGAAGTTAGAGCATCAACCTAAGTTTTTTACTCATGTAAAAGTGTAAAAGTACCAGTTTCAAAACTTACGTTATAAAAATAAAAAGTCGATCAATCAATAATATAGGTAAAAGGACAAAAGCTTTAAACCTTATACTTCACAACCCCATTAAAGGAATATTTTTCTACAATTCTGAATGATAACTACCTTTCCTAGTTTTTTAACTGTCTCAAATTTAACTTTGCATTAGCTTGAAAAACTATGCATTTTGGTATGTGGCAAACAAGAACATGCTGCAGTACAGAGTCCAA